GGTAGCAGTAATCCACTTGCTTATCCACAATTTAGTTTCGGCAAGTAAACATCCTTATAAATATTGTTCTGTAACAATATACACTGACTGATGCAAAATTGAAACTTGAACAAAATTCACACGTATTAAAAAGCATGCCAACCCTGGTCGATGTGCACACTTTACAAGATAACTTGCTTGAATATATATTGATCAATATACAAACTTAGACGATAAGTTCAAAGTTGAGTGAAATCCATGCCTAATTAATTAGCATACTGTACTCTGATTGGTCAATGGTTTTATGCCAAGTAACTTTGTCAGATAAGGCAAGGGTTGATATCTTATTCAACAACAAAGGCAAAGTTCAAAGATGTTCACAATCTGTGCATAATCTATTTTATGGTTTTAAATAATCAGGTATTGGTCAAAGGGGTAAATGCCAGTTTCAGTTTTTAATGTTCTATGAAATACATTGTATGGACAAAGGGAAGCAATTCCTAATTACTATGCAAATTAATTATCCAAAGGTTTAAAATGATATATTCTAGAGGAAACTTGGTACCCCTCTTCTGACAAACCTATTAAGATATACTGTACACACAAGTAGAATAACTTCAGTGGTACACTTTTACATAAAAGTTTCATAACAAATTAACAGTAAATCCTTCTGTACAATATGATGGGAACTTCGTCTTTATTTTGTTCTCTATTCCAAAAATAATATATATATATCTTTTGCCTTAGCTTTCAGTACTTTCATTATGAAAATAATCTTCCGTTTAAATATAATTAGCTACTAGTTAGTGTGAATTTAGCAGACCTCGCTGGAAGTATTTGGTTCATAACTGGATCGTATGGGGTAGTATTGGGTGGTATGGGTAATTAGACGCGCCCGTGGGGAGGGGGCTATTTGTGCATTATTTACAAAAGAATGGCACTCTCGTGATCAGCTATTTTAACTTATCTTCTACTTCAACAATGTTAGAGGTTTAACACGGCGAAAAACGTTTGAAAGGCGCCGTCGCAGTCGGCAAAATCATATCCGATAGAAAAAAAGGCCGACCAGCGGCCTCTCATGTCATAGGATCCCCCCGGAGTAACTTATCTTCCTGCTTCCCACCAAATCTGAATCTTCGAATTCCTGAGATTACGGTACAGTTGTTATAAATGATAACTTTTCAGTGACAGTTTCTCTTACCACTTCCAACAAGAAGCACGTCTATTGTAACCGTTAACACTTTTCTTTTTGAACACTTTGACTCATATTTTGGTGACATATTCATCTCCGGGGATCGCCTTCCACCGTACACCGGAAGTTTACTCTAACAGTCCGGAAACAATCGCAACTTCTCGGCCAATTCCGGCTAGGCGCGGAATCATACTTATTATTCCGCGCCTAGCCGGAATTGGCCGAGAAGTTGCGATTGAGTCCGGAAACTGGCAATGATAGTTTGTAAAGAGGGAATCGAAATGAACCGGAGGAGAATTTCCGGAATGGTTGTTAACAACGACAAATGTTTGAACATAAGGTCTCTGCATCATCGTAACCAAAGTGTTCGCTATGCATTGATTATTCTTAAATAACACATTACATGTTAGATTTTCCAATGGTTGTCAGTTTTATCGAAGAAATTTCATTTTAGCTAATACATTGTATTTGACTTCTGTTCCAAATCTACTGAACCAATAGCATTTACATTTTGCAGAATGATTCCATAGTCATAGGCAAATCAAATTTGTGAATTATATCGAGATAACCTCCCAAGGGTCCTGAGCCGGTACCGGCCAAACGTGGTCAAATTGGCAAAGTTTTCAACAATCTTCTTCTCGAGACCCATATGTCGGAAACATAAACTCTTTCATGGATGGAAAGGTACAATAGTGCTATATCAAAAGTATGAATTTAATCAACCCGTTGAAAACTGACTCTCCCGATGAAAATGGACCCCATAAGAGGTCAATTTTCTACGCGAATGCCGTTGAAAACTGACCCGTTGAAAACGGACCCTTACTTTGTCCGAAGTACCAATTTGATCTCATGTATCTATGAGTCCATCGTCCGACCAAATCAGGTCAGTGTGACCTATTTCTGAATATTTGAGATACACTAACAGAAATAATCAGGGGGTTCAGAAATATGCATATTCTGTTTAAAATTTACCAAATTTGACCCACTTTTGAAAAATTGACCTACATTACTAAAAAGTGTCACTGGGTTCAGAAATTAACTCAAAATTGTTGTTTCACCTAAATCGGTCAATGAGACCTACTTTTAAAAAGTTGACCTAGATTGCTAAAAATTGCCATTGGGTTCAGAAATGAACTATAAAACTGTTGTTTCACCTAATTGAGGCACGGTAGACTAGTGGTAGGACGTCGCGGTCTCGTGACCGAAGGGTTGCGGGTTCGAGTCACGGCACGGCAGTGTGTTGTATCCTTGAGCAATATACTTCACTCCGCTTGTTCCAGTTCACTCAGCTGTAAATGAGTGCGTGGTTGGGCAGTGCTAGAATTGTTGAATGCTAGCTGTGAGCGCCGAATGACAGCACTGGCTGTATGCTCCACAGGGACTGGCTGGTTGCAAAGGCCCTTTAACCACGGATAATAATTTGTGAACCGCTTTGAGACTACCTACGAACTAGGTTGTGATAAAGCGGTATATTCGAATTACTATTATTATTAATATTATCAATGTGACCTACTTTTTAAAATTTGACCTACATTATTAAAAACTGCCGTTGAGTTCAGAAATGAACTCAGAATTGTTACTTACTTTACTTTAAACATATTTATTGCCAATAAAATTGAACAAGGGATTGGGCACAAGTTATTACAACTTATCACAGCCTTCTCCCGTCATACATTAACAATTTCATGTCAACAATGATAATAGGCATAAACATGAAGTACTCGTAGATATATATATAATAATATTCACACAGGTACAAATACACAACTTTAAAAAAGTACCATTCAAAATCTTTTGCTGGATTTGATGAAGAGATGCACATGTCTAAAAACGTAAGAGTTAATGTCTACCGACAGATCTGAATTGCCAAACAAACGAATCTCTAAATTTAACTCTATACCTAAGGCATTCAAATTTTGAAACAAAATACGCCTTTCATTGCTAAAAAGTTGACACTCAAAGAAAAAGTGAAAGGCATTCTCACATGGATGTCCACAGATGCAAAATGGACTCTCGACAAGATTAACTATGTAAAGGTCATACTTAAGGGAACTACAATTGTGCCTCAGTTAAGTATGTATGATATTTAATTTACGTTCTCCAAAACTGAAGTAGATAGGAGGGGATGGTTGTATTTTTGAAGTAAGAGAGTTTTTAAATAAGTGTATAGACGGCAACAATCGTACTGATAGATCTATCGAGTTCCAGCTACGAAGAGTGGAAGGTATAAAGGAAAGATTGGTAAGAGAAAGCCCAAATAAAGGAACTCTATAATCACTGCTATTTCTAAGAGTGTACCTGTTATTTTCTGCAATGGTAAGTGGCAGGAGATCGTTTAAATAATCTGGAGTAAAGTTGTTTTGCATTTTGCATGAAAGTTGGAGTTTTTTCGTTTTCGACGATTAGAAAGAGTTTCTAAACCTGTTTCAAAATGTATTCTTCGATACGGGCATATGAAGGACGACCGGATATAATTCGAGCAGCTTCTCTTTGGGCTTTCTCTAATTTTTCTGATTCAAATTTAGTACAACCATCCCATAATTCAAAAGCATATTCTAAAACTGGTAAAATGAATGATTTATACATTTTTAAAAGACTATTCCTATTTAGCAAATATTTCAATCTCCGTAAGACGTTAATTTTCTTCATAACTGAACTATAATTGGCATTAATATGATCACCCCACTTTGCGCTTGAATTAAAAACTACTCCCAGATGCTTATGATGGTCTGTAAAATTTAAGTCTTTTCCATCAAATTTCAAATCTAAATCTTCATCTATGTCAATAGAATTAGAAATAAATATTACCCCAGTTTTGTCTGGATTAAATGTTACCAACCAAGTTGGCAATATCATTAATGTATATTAAACAGACTGTGGGTATTTCTTAACATATGATGGCTGATTCCATCCTCACCCGAGGCCTTGCCGAGGTTCAATATCTGTAGAACGTCATGATTATTTACTCTAATAGAACTGAACGTTTTGTCAGTTTTTGGCTCCAAAATAGGAAGCACGTTGTAAGTATCATTTACTCGTGTAATACTACAAACATAGTCATTTAATAAGTTAGCTTTGTCTTCGTCATTAGTAACAATATTGTTAGTATGATGATCTACAAGTGTAGGTATAGATTGTGAAGTACCAGTGGATTTCATTAACAGTTTAATAAGTCTCCAGTAATATTTTGTATCAGAGGACGAATACTCTTCAATTATACCTAAAACGGGCATGCTTTTTTATGTTGTTAACCTTATTACGTTGAGACTAAAATGGATTAACATCCTAAAGAAGCTTGGTTGACCTCGCGATTTTGTGCAACCTATCTCGAATTCTCAATTTTTTCTTAGTTCGGAGGTCATCCAAGGTTTGTCATTTGGTCTTAAAGTGACAACTTTAGATGGAATACATAAATTAGCAAATTTTAGAAAAACATCAGTAAAAAGCTCACAGGCAATATCAACGGGAGTCGCAATTTAGAAAAAGATCATAAAAAGATTATCAAAAATCCAATTATAATTAGAAATAATATTATTTAGGGGATTGTACGTTGTTTTGAGTGGCTATACTGGCGATTAGAACATGAAATTTGATTTGAACTATCGGTCTCGAGTTCAAATCAAATTTCATGTTCTAATCGCCATTATAGTCACTCAAAACAACATACTTTCCCCTAAATATATAAAGACGATAAAATATTCTGAGGTCCATTTTCAACATTGAATATTGATCCGGGACCAGTTTTGACGATTGAATATACAAAGGCGCCTTATGTTTCTGGGATCTAATTTCAAAGCTGCAATTGCGAGTAATAGCGGAAGTCACCCCTCCCCTGCTAAGTACCACTGCCTCAACCCAGTCCCAACAACCTATCGGCATCTTGAGAAGAAACAACAGCAATGTTCATATCAATTTGAATAACTATACATGTATTTCTAACATACAAAGCATAAGAAATGTATGTTAATATCATACAGATTGAACTCGAGCTTCACACCCATCATAAAATGCAGAACATCAATTATGGATTGTGGTGCTCACTAGTCTTTTTAAGGCGGAAAACAACAGTAATTTTTTTTGTTTATTTTTTTCCCATCATTTGGAGAGTTGTGGGTATATTCAAATGTACCAAAGGAGTCAGTCAATTAAACCATGGTAAAGGCGACATCAGATCACCAACCACGCAGCCGTGACCAGTTGTTTTAGACAGTTTTGCTCCAAAATATGAAGCTATGGATATATTCCCTGATCCGATGATATACATCACACGTCCTTTCGTGATTTCGTAATTGCATCCTTGCCCGTTCGCAATCAAGATGATAATACTAATTCCTGCTTGTCAAAAATTGCTACAGAATCAATTTGTTACAGTACTAAGTCAAACACAAGAAAGCTAAGGAATCTGTACTTGCACAGACACAATGTCATGGTAGCTGTAGTAAGCTGGCATTTTGTCAAAAGAAGCCTGAAGTTTCCTACACATGTAAACATGATCGATGAGTGTGCCTCCATCCGTGGTTGATCTATCCATCAGTTGCCTGGATCCGTGTTGTTCCATACACTTTTTGATTGAAGATTCTGACTTTAGTACGTCTTGATTGAAATATCCCGCAATAATTGTAGCTTTACCATTCTGTGCCAGAAGCAGAAGTAACTGATGTAGCTGCTCCAGGAAAACAGATGCTGTGTACGATTCTGGTCTGTATACCACTACTAGACTAGCATCAAGGTCCTGCACATGAACACCAACACATTCAATGTCGACCTGATCAAGTCCTAGCTGTCGGCACATCTGATATTCACGGAACTATATGCCGACACCTCCATGTTTTTGGCCTGTGCATGATGTCATAATTCTCCAGAGCTGGGGCAGTAGAACTGGGCTCCATCCATGTTTCTGTTAAACAGATGAAATTTGCATCCGTGATGTCAGAGTTCATGCGTATGTCATCGATATGTGGAATTAATCCCTTGATGTTGTGGAGGAGTATGTGAACGCGATTTCGACATTCTTCTTGTTCGAGAGGAGGCAAATACTGTGGCATTCTTTTCAGAGCATCTGATATTTGTTCAGTACAGTAAATATTGTCTTGATCCAAGTCTTGAATGACTAGTCCATCCATAGATGTCACCCTGCTGAGAGCAACCTAAGCCATGCCGGCAGCAAAAGTGCGTTTGAATGACACAACAGCTTGATCAGTTGTGATGCCCTGCACTTTGTGAGTTGGACAACCCCATGCCAGCTGTAAGGGTAGCTGGTGTCTGACAGCATTATTCTTCAATATCTCCTCAAATGGCTCAATACTAACAGGCTGAGGATTTTTCGGGTGTGAGGATGATGGCTTGCATACCTTTTCATTGTCACAAAACACCTGTACTGCCCGTGGTAATGATGACTGTGGTGAGGGTGGTAAGATTCTGCTATCAGTTCCACAAGCACCATTCACTAATCCCAAAGAAATGTCAACATTCCTTATCAGCATCACTCTGGCTTTTGGTTCAATCAATAGTTGTGATGACAGGTAGTCGTGAGAAGTGTGATGTGGTGTATCTTTGGTTATTAGCTTGCCTGATTGGGGATCTTTATCAAAATCTTGTGCCGATACTGTCTGAGTAGCTTCACATATCTCGTCGATCATCTTGCTGTTGTGATTGTTGACTTCACGATTGGTGGCGAAGATATGTAGTGTATCGGGTGGAACTGAATGCTCTACACATGCTTCCAAACAAGCTAGATCATCATCCTGCAGGCACTCCCTCTTCTTTTTAACACGTACACGTCATCCCTTTGCCTCATCCTGGTCCAGTTCTACCAATGAAAAATTTGAGCTCCATAATGAAAAAAATTGTTCCGGTCTCGGAACATACAGACACATCTGTTTCACAGGTGGAAATCTCCTACTGCTATCATAAAAACATTTCCAAAAAGAGCATTTCCACTTTGCTTGATCTGTCGTTATCTCTCACTAACATATGTAAGTAGACATTGGCCAACCATAGATATCTCATCAATAACCAAAATCACTAGGTTTTGGAGCTTGACACGAAGTGTATTCAATTTAGCATCCCTTTTTTAAATATAAGGCAGTGGAAGAGCCTTTGTGAGTGCAAATGCTTGATGAAGGGTGGTACCACATATGTTGAATGCTGCAGTTGCCGTTGGTGCAGCGAGAAGCACGACTATGTTATCTGGATTTGGAGCATGGGGAGACAAGATTCTATTTGCCTCGAAATACAAACACTTTATTAGGTGGCTCTCTCCTGTACCAGCACCACCAGTGATGAAGATCCTGAATGAGTCTGGCTGTCCACCATTCACTTTCTGCAGGCACCACTGTCGGACACTGTAGAATACCATTTTTTGCTTTTTATTTAGCTTTCGTAAGAGGGGCTGCATTTGCTGAATGGTAAATTTGCTGTTACTGATCTCTAAATTTGTTCCCATGTTTTTCCTCTTGTTTGTTGTCTCTAGTTCAGGGATTTCTATATCACTTCCATCCACAACTACCTCTTTTTCAAGCTCTGCTTCTAAACGTTCTGCTTCTGACTCAGGAGCAATCAAAGCCCAATCATCCTCCATGGGTCCATGTTTGATTATCAAATCTTTTGCCTCAACCAAATCTTCTGCTTTTTTATCAAAATGTTGTCTGTTGGAATCTACAATATCCTTCACACTTTCTGGTGATGTTAATGTTGTAAGACTCACTGCGCCTGATAAATAGAATTCTTCATGTGTTTTGAAATTGCCTTGTTTAATATGTCCATCCATTCTATGAGGCAAGAACAGCTGCAAGATAGACTTATAATGCAACTCGGAATTCTTTTTGGCCGAAAATCTCGGATATTTGACAACAGCTTCCTCTGTTCATGATCTCTTTTGGATGTGTCCAAGGTCATTTTATAATTTATGGACATGAGGATTTGGTTTCTTTTGAACTTGTGATGCTGCCAGTACATGGTATTCTGAACAGAATGAGGCATAGCACAGTCTGTCAAAGTCTGCATCGAGAGGTCTTGCTTTATATTTGTCATATAGAGACGACATCCATATTTCACTCTCGTCAATCGTTTTAGATCATCTCTGTATGGCATTAAGTGGCAGACTCATTTTCACCTGGTTGTCCCCAGCTGGGACAAATTGAACTTTCCGTGACGTTTCCTTTAAATGGAGACCACAGACACGATACGCGGCCTCTTGTGCACTAACTTCACGTTGACGAAAGTAGGCTCCTCCAATTTTTTTCATGGCTTGCTGAGCATCGGCGTTTCCTTCTGCCGCTTCTTTCTGTACATTTTCCCGGACAAGACCCGTTTCCCTTTCAGATTTGGAGATGTACGAAATGATGTACATTACACAAGAGTAGGCATCTGTCACGTACTGGATATCTATGTTTGTGTTCCAGCAACGTAGAAGGTCTGTGTTATATTGATTGATCCATTCATCTGTTGGTTTGCGCTGGATAACTATCTTTGTTCGCTTTGTGAGGATATTAGATGCCTCTTCAAAGTCCATCACGGTAATTCCTGCCATAGCAAATCGATTCTGTGATGTGATTTCCTCCAAATCTACATTCTGGATAACATCCCACACCAGTTGTAATAAAGCCTGCGTCTTCATTTCTAATGGTGATCGTTGAATAGTCGGATCAGTCAGACTCTTAGCGTGGGGCACAAAAGTCCTTTCTGATGGAGGACGTGGAAAGTGAAATCTACATGTTGTTCCTTTTTTCTTGCATGTTTTTGCTGTGTTGCTGAACACTACTTGCGATTCGGGATCTTCATTTTTGTCCAGGAGCTGACAAGTTTCAAAACGATTAACAAAGTCACAAACAGTCTGATCATCATATATATCCAGCAAAGGTGCGTCCTCCACCCAAAACAAGCAATGTGCATGAGGTGACCCACGTTGCTGGAACTCAATCCTGTGAAAATAATCCTACATTTTTTCCAACAACATTCCGTTCAATAATGACCTGTTTCAGGAATGCGTGGAACCTGTGGTCGAACATGACGGCATTCATGATTGGGTTATTCTTTAAAACTTCACATTTCTCAGTCCAATCAAGATCTTCCACAGTCTGCGAGCTGCCTTGTTGTTCCAAAAGTTCTTGGAGGATTTCTGTCTCAGGTCTGCAGCTGAGAAAGTACAGAACCAAGTGGGTATGCCAAGTTGACGTGCGAAGCTGCCTATACGCTGGTACGCAGACGAACACCCCCTTGTCCCCCTACAAAGTCCCTGCACTGGTTCCGCTCTTAAATGAATCCACTCCGAATAGGGGCTTTAGCTACGCCCCTGGTGTAATAATATTCTTGGGTCTACTTTTAAAGTTGAATATGGACCCCCGTCATTTGCTTTTGACACTTAAATATAAAAAGGTGTCATAATGTTTCTGGGATCCATTTTCAACTTTTAATATGTCAAAACAGTTGAATGTTTGTTTTGTAACACATTGACTATTTTAAAAATACATACTTGTTGTAGCATGTAGTTTGAATTTTTAAAAGTATGTCACAGGGACGTAATTTGGTAAACACCTTTTTTTAATTTTTGCTAATTTCTGAACCTTATGACAGATTTAATAATGAACCTCTAGTTTCTAGTTTTGAAAAGCAGATTTTAGTAAAATTTCTGAATCCTGTAACAATTTATAAAGTTGAGGTAAAACTAGAAAAAAGTAGTTCTCATGTAACTGGTTTGGAAAAATATATGTAAAGTTCTGAACCGTGTGACGATGTCTTGAAATACAGCTCAAATAATGAAAATTAAGGGTTACCTATTTTTTTCAAACAACTGTTAAATGTTAATTTCTGACTCCTATGAACATTTTTTATATTGTAGGTCAAATTGAGAAAATTGGTTCACAGTGACCTTATTTTGTCAGAAAGTTGTTATTATAATTATCTGACTCCGATGACCCTTTTTGATAATGTAGGTCAAATTTTGAAAATTAAGTCACAGTGACCTATATTTTCTAACATCTGTTAAATGTTTATTTCTTAACCCGATGACAACCTTTTATCATAGTAGGTCATGTTAATCTAATTAGGTCAGACATCCATACTGGCTAAATTTCTGGAAATTGGACGCAGGACTTCATTAAGTATAGGTAATCTAAGTGGATATTTTAAATCAATATATCAATTTTTCATATGGTTCACTTTTCAACAGGGGTCCATTTGCAACGTGTATGTAAAATAAGTTTGCGTTAGGTTCATTTTTCAACGGCTTCCCGGTTCAATTTTCAACGTTGAAAACTGACCCCGGCTCCATTTTCAACGGGGGTCCATTTTCAACGTTACACCGGCGATCTGCTTGTTATCCGCGATTTTCCGTGTTTTACCCAAGTCCAATAAAATATAAATCCCCTGAAAACGCTTTAACGAGGCGGTAGCGATATACAACATACCGGCCTGTTCATTTATGCGAACAAACCGTTCCGATTGTTCCAATTATAGTATTTCATTGATAAAATGTTTGAACATGCAGATATAAGTGCGAGCATTGCAAGTCATTTTTATAACTTACTAGAAATCAACAGTTGATATATTTTTTCCCATAAACCAATGACTCCAGTCCAACCAATTTACCATTTCTGACAGCACAAACGGAACCGCCCAATTAAATTTACTCGCACATCAACTATTAACACACGTGTGTTTGCTCAAAAGTTGTCATCCTGAGATCCAAGATGATGCAAAGGGCATTTGGTGCCGTGTACAGGACAGTAAGTATCGTACTGGTAACAGATAAATACTCTTAACTAGAGAGCATTCTGAGCTCGTGAAACATTCACGGGTCTATCCATGTCACTACAAGGAGATGATCAGATCTGACTTCGTAGCATCGGGTGACCAGTTTCTGAGCCCTTACCGTCACAGTACCCAAATCGGAACCATTGGAGGGAAATGTCACAAGAAATTTGCATGCTGTGCAAAGAAGTATTTTCAAATTGAAAATACTAATTTAAAGATGATAATATACCAATAAAACATTATATGAACTGTATTTACTGCCACTTATGGTTACAATCACAGGTTTAGTTTGTAAATAATGACGAAAATGTAACGTTCTAAATTGATGCGCCATGCGACGTTATTGATTTTCAATTTTTGTATGTGATTTTTCGCAATCCTACTATTTCACAACTAAAAGTAGTTCGGAAAAGAAATTCATTCAGAACGACCATTGACTCAGCTCTTAAATATTCCAAAGACATGCCATCTTCTGCAAAATACTTTTTTCATCTCCAAATATAAGCCTGGTAGGTGTGTTCCAATTTGTTTCGCGATTACGTAACCATGACTATATTTCTGGGTTTATTGATAGAACCATGCGCCGGAAATATCAACTTATTGTTATCAAAATGAAAAGATAATGATATCTATTTAGGAAAAATTGAACAAAAATAACTGGGATCGGTACTATTTGGTATGAAATACATAAAAAAAATCGCTAAAAAGTGTCCTGATTTAGGTACTGTAACAACGAAATACAGTGTGCTCTAACTGGAAATAGTTTAAGATCCGTTTGTCAAAACTAACTTAGTGTACAGTACCTATCTGACAGAGGTATGTACCACTGTAGCGGAACTGAACTGGGTCGATCATCGGCGACCAGATAACTCAATTGGTAGATCAGAGCGTCTGTCTAGAGTTCGGAGTGTTAAAGGTTCAAACCCCGGTCTGGCCGTGCATTTTTCCTCTCCTGTTACATTGGTGCCACAGTGACCAACCCTTGATCCAAGCATTTGGTGATACTTGGCAAGGGGATACCCGAACCTGGGTTTTAAAAAATTGAGTCATCAGGGGCGAAGACTTAGAAAAAGGAGGGAGGAATGTAGCAGAACTGGACTGTATGAGTCGATTGTCGACACAAGTTAACTCAATTGGTAGAGTGTCCGTCTAGAGTTCCGAGGGTCCCCAGTTCAAACCCTGATCTGGCCGTGCATTTTTCCTCCCCTGTTACACAGGTCTCTAAATCATTTCAGCGTGTAAAGAAGAAACACTTAACATTTACTTAAATATAGTGAAGTCATACTTTGTTATGTAGCCAATAGGATAATTTCAGTGTTCACACACTATCTAATTACAGATTATGTCAGTGACCTATACCATTTCATGCATACTCTGCATGAACAATGTCAGTCTGCTAACCACTTTTATTGTTTTATCCCTCTGTTTTATATGTAGATTATGTTTGAGAAGCAGGTCACTGAGACCTGTAACGCTTTTGTCTTTGACCTTGACCTTTCAAAAAGTTGGTCCAGGGCTAATATGTCCTATGCTATTTAACTAGGATTAATCAGATTTGGTATGCAGGTATATGTTATGATGGGAGAGTGCAATTTACATTAAAACAAAAAGATAGGTCATTGTGACATATGCTTTATGGCTAGAACGGGTAACAACCCGAGTACCAGGTTGCGGTCCGGCTACAAGTATTATCCGGTTAGCAAATATACATGTACGTACCCAAAAACTGCCCCAAAATCTAGGTAGCAGTATACAGTAGAGGGTTGTGGCCATGGGTGATATTTTTGTTAAATGGCTAACCCCTGTATAATGATATGTAAAAAAAATATAGAAATAAAACTGTACTAAAATTGGTATAAGCATGATGAAATGGGCTATGTGAGCTTCACATTTGTAAAAAAGAAAGAAGATTTTTTTGGTTCGAGAAGAACATTTTGGCCATAATCTGAAAGGGTGCGTAAAGCTAGCTTTACAGGAGGTAAATTTTTGACAACAGCACACGACGCAAAATTGCAAAAAATCAAGTTTTACAACTTTACTGGGACCCAGATAACTCTGCAACCAGGTAGGTAATCTTTAATTTCAAACAGAGCTTAGAAAAAAATTTACTAGTTGCGGGGGTCAAATTTTTGGGTTAAAAATAGCAATTTTTGGCATTTTTTGGTAATTTTTGATGTGGTAACCATGGTTTTCACACAAGTGACGTACATAGAAAAAAGAGGTTTATACACTTCTGAGTACGTATATATATATATACTTTATATGTATTGTAAATGTAATGCAGTTTACAAATATATATACATGTGTTGTGTAGGGTAAATCTGCTGTGTTTACATTTCCTCGACATGTGCCTTGTTTATCAGAGTCGGGCCATTTCTACTGTATACTGCTACCCTAGCCTAGGTCTGACAGCATTTATTGATTTTCCCGGACAGAAATGTCGCTCCTGACTGTTTAACAGACCTTGAAAACACTTGTGACCAGTATACTTGCTATACAAGTTATCTTCTGTGTTCCGACCGGAAGTGATGCACAAAAATACATGCACATATCGAGCTGTAAAGAAAGTTTATTGATACAGATTTTTTCCAATGATTGCAATCAAAGGTCAAAATAAAAATCACAGTAGCTTGCCTTTCCTACAGTGAATTCTGTCAACTCGGGATGTACCTGCATACCAAATTTGATTACTCCAGGAAAAATATATATAGTCGATATTTTTTGTTATCTTGTATTATCTTGTGTTATCTTGTATTATCTTGTATTGCCTGTGAGTGATTTTTTTCATAGTATTAAATGTATATTAGCCTAATATTCAACTACCTATGAGTCACTCTGTGTGGATTTTGAACTCCCAGGGAGGATATAGAAAAGGAATATGTCTAAAACTCTCATTACTCTGGTGAGGTCAAGAAGTAGCACAGCTTGACTTGTGAACTTTGATAAGCAGTTAAAGTTATCACCCCTTTACCATATGCCTTGTAAATGTCTGTTTTGTATAAGTTGTGTCTTTTTTTCAATTCTTCATTTCACTATAAATTATAATATATATGCTGATTTATACAAATGCATGCAGGAGAGAACTGACATAGCCTGTTGTTCGATCCAATTCATACAACATCATGAATAAAATTTGTTGAAATGAAATGAAATGAAATTGATTTTTTAAGGTCAATCTTGTGGCCTTAAAAAACTCCATCCTCTGGATAATTACTATTTTAAAAAATCTCTTTTATTTTCCCATAATTTCGCTTTTTCGTGGGTGGTATTTTCCCAAATCAACAGGCACTGGTCCCTGTGAAAAAGAGGTAGAAAAATCAATGCATGTCCTGAAAAGAGCCTTTCATCACTATGCAGTAGTTACATATACAGTATATATGTTATACAAATCTTGCTTTCAGACTAACAGGCTTGCATGGTTGGGCAGGAGAAGTTACTCCTATGAATCAGATGGAGAATTTGATTCCAACTCGAGACCTGAGACTACATCTAGTGTACAGTTATATGAAAGAAGTAAGTGACGAATTATATACAGTAGATCACTAATGGACTGTGACTGTTCCATCGCTCAAATTACAGCAAGCATTTATTATCATGATGGAGTTAGATAAGTAAAAGTCTTCATTATTATAACTTTAAATGAAGCTGAAAAAAACATTAACTTCTGATTAAAACAATTTTATTTTGTCTTGTAAAAATTGCCCCATGCATGTTTGTACACAAGAGGCCCCATAAATGTTTTGGTATAAGGCCAAAATACCCCCATCAGCAGCAAGACCAGAACGATCGCTGTCTAGAACAATTATACTTACATTAGGTTATGTGGACCAGCCATGCAATTTTTTTCTAAAATTTTGTGTTGAGGTCAATAGTGAGTTTTAAGTGTTTGCCAAGGTGAAAGGCAATCACGGGCTGTAAAAAGTTATATAATACTTCTCAAATTTAGTATTAAGGTCCAGTGTTGTGATATTTAGGCAGTAGCTATATGGGATGGCATATGCTATAAAGTGTCCTCTTATAAATGACCTTGACTCTAGTTCAAAGGGATCCTTGGATTAAACATTTATATATATATAAACATAAACTTTTATTTATTTTTGCAATAGCTATGAAATAAGTTTCTACAACTTATACTTTTGTTGGCCAGGATTTTAGTCCACAGGGGTCCTATGTGGGAGGAAACCAGAGTACCCTTGGATCATTTCTTGTAAACTGCTGAGAACTTATTACCATATATCTGCTTAATTACCAGGACTGGCATGAAGAGACGTAAATATAATTAGGAAATCAGAGTTATCTCAGAGTCTGATTTCATCCCAACACACCCGCTCTACCCCTAGGGGCATCCTCGATATCCAGGGGTTATGCTCACTTTCGCTCTCTGCACCCCTGGAATATGGCATAGCAAATTTGAAGGCTCTGTGTGCGCCACCTTGTGGATGAGACGAGAAGATTAGTTTGATCATTTGATGTACATTAAAAGAATCTCGTGGTTGCGTAATGGTAAAATCAATTGGCTTAGAAGTCGGGCGTCGCTCCTCTGTAATCTTCAAAGGACAAGTATCAGCCTAGTGATTGGTCAGGTTTTTTTACCTGACACCAGTCAAATAGCTAGCCACATGCCTTGAATTTTGCTATGACATATTCCAGGGGTGCAGAGAGTGAAAGTGAGCGTAACCCCTGGATATCAAGGAAGCCCTTAGGGGAAATCACTCTGATAGAATTTCATGTAAAATTGCTGAGCTTGAAGAGATAAACACACTCATGCTGCCATCATTGCCTGTCTGGATGTTGGCCCCAGGGGACTTGGGACCAAAGAGGTCATAACTTTAAAAAGATTGCATTGAGATCCCCAACCAATAACTATATACAGTCAAACCTGTCTTATGTGACCTTCTGAGGGAAGTTCAAAATAAAGTCACTTGAGACAGAATCAAAAATTTCAAAGAAAGATATAAACTGTGTGTTTAAAATGATTATGATATTTATTTGTGAAATATTTACGTAATAAAACAATATGACATTTATATGCAATTTATTGAATAGTGTTTTTCTAAGATGAGCATTTACAGTCTAAGATATCAAATTTGTTCTAATCACAGATTCTTTGCACATTTAAAAACGTCATCAGACAGCAAACCAGTCATCAATTTTTTTATTTTTTTTTAGAGTTTGCCTCACATGTAAATTTTGACAAATGCTCATCTGCTTTTATCAAATCTAGCATAAAGAGACGAATGCACATATGTTTCAAGGATGGCCTCATGGTCTGCCCCACCCTTGGAGACTTGACCCATGGGTCGTAACTTTGAAACGGTTGAGATCCCCACATCATAACCACACATACAATTGCTGGTCATGAAACATCTAATACAGATATGCTACCCTTGAGGTCTGGCCCTATCCCTGGGATCTTATTTGGAGAATATTTCACCATGATTGCTTAGTTATCCAGGTAAAAGATACAGGCCCTCTGGGCCTCTTGTTTTTACTCCTGTTACACATTTGGCACCCAAAATATACCCACGGAAGATGGCATATAGATAGGGTCCATGACTCATTGATTAAAAAACAACGAAGTTAATGCCTGGATTGCTTTGAAATACTTTAATATTGAAAGAACACACTGTTCTGTCAATAATAAACATACAATATTCATCAGTTTAATATTAAACATTAGAATATGCGGAAATTGTGATACTGTCTCCCTACATCGGATTTTCAACTAGGGATGCACTCCTATGACCTTAATGAAACTTAGAAATAGATGCAAGTTGTTAGGGTTGCAAAATACTATTGGGTCTGTATACTAAAGGTCCAGGTCACATTTAGGTAAAAGGTCAAATTCATTGTTCTGGCCATAACTTCAGACTCGTTGAAAATAACTCAATAAGATTTAAGGGATATATGTAAGATGGCAAAGTGGTGTGTTGCGACCACTTTGAGGTCTGTACACCAAAGGTCCAAGCAGGTCACATTGCGGTCACACTTTAATACAGCCTCGGTGACCTTTTCAGGGAGCATAATCCATCACTTGTAGGGATTTTCTGGTTCTATACACTCGATCTAGTTCTGTCTAGATTTGAGGGGTACAGACCTATTACAGATGATCTAGTTTTGTCTTGATTTGAGGGGTACAGACCTATTAAAGATGAAGGATCTTCATTGCATGTTAGTGTTGACAGGAACATTTACTTTTTTGTTACTCAGGTGTCAACAGAGTGACGTTGCTTGGTAGGGTTGGAAAAGAACCTTACTTCAGTACCAGCAGTTTCAAATACGCGAACTTCCCACTTGCTACATCAATATACTACAAACAGCAAGGCACGGGTAAGTTCTCTGGTATCATTGGGTAGGCAAAAAACAAGACAGCAAATTATGTACAATTGAATCTTGTCAATCCATCTACCATTAATATAATCGGCTTATTCCAGTTTCTAGCCAGTTTATTTTGGAAGCTGATTTCTTTCTTTAGAGCCGTGTCCTGCGGTTATCAACTTGCTTTTTTTTTCATTCCTTTTAAATCAGGAAAAAAAAGTTAAGTTCAGGGTTTTCACATGATGGGGAGGTATTTCTATGAACAAATCATGTGTTTACTAATTATTCATGTTGGAGGATGTTTAATCAAATAAGGCTAAAAATGTTTTCCTATTTTACAACATTCATGAAAAATGACTGAAAAACGGGTAGGTTGGTTGGAATTTCTTTTTGTTGTATTTTATTTTGACGGATCTTGACCACTGATTTTCGATGCATTCAAGTGGATTTTTTGTGCATTCAAGTGAGATAAAATTGTTAGGGTTGGTCAGGGTACCTAAAACATACATATTTGTTTTGCTTTATCATTACTTTTGTTACATAGATGAGACAAAACAGACGACAACATGGCACGATGTAAAAGTGATAAAGCCTTTGGCTGTTGCCAAGCTTCATGACATTGGAACAGGGTAAGTGACTCAACACATGCACTGGCGACATTTGAAGTTGTTGACAAATCTATTTATTGGTGGTACACCAGTCAAAATCATTCTCAGTAGATAAATGATCACTTTATTAGGGCCCCGCAAAATTTCTGAAATCTCACATGGTGATACACTGTGATGTGCAGATGTGCAATAGGGGTTTAAGATGTTCCTAAGGTCAAGGTCACTGTTAACATTACTAAAAATAGAATTGGGAATATACTGTCAAAAACACATCAGATAAGGGCCAGAAGGCCAAACGTTCTGAAATTTCTTATGTTGAAATATTGTGATGATATGCAGATATGCAATACTGGTTTATAAAATTCCTAGGTCAAGGTCGCTGTTACTAAAAATAGAACAGGGAATATACTGTCAAAAATACATCAGATAAGGGCCTTACAGAAAGCCAAACTTTCTGAAATTTCACATGATGATACACTGTCATTACAGTAAAACCTCACTCTCACAAACTCTGTTTACTCGAATACCCCTCATTCGTCGAACAGGTTGTTTGGTCCTGACCAAGTTCTACATATTCTTTGTAAGTAATCCCAGATCTCAAGGCACAGGCTGCGGTCCATGCTCATTGTGCTTATACAGGTGTCGGCTGGACGTCAGATAATTAGAGGATTAACGGCAGTATCATTCAGTAACTGTACTGTTACCCTGTTGTAGCTGCATTATCATGTTGTGTGCTTATTTATTTTTTCCAACAATGTTTTGACATCGATGATTTGGTGGAAGTGTTAATTCACTGGGTGTGTAAAACCATATTTTGGCAATATTAAGCGGTAATCACATAGCGGATTCTCAACCAACTTTAAAGATATTCCAACTTGAATACGTCGTGATTGTTAACTTCATTATCAATCAACATTATGATAACAAGGATTCAAGGTTTTTTTCATTTTAAAATGATCGAAGAGTTCAACTCGTTTTGATATTTTGTAAACTTAACGTAGCCGATTACAGTATGGCAGAGTATGTCAAAACGACAAGTACCTTACACATGCAGCTTTATAATTTTATTTACTTTCTTATTACCGGTGGCTTCTTTCTATCATCTACTATCCGTGATATTGCAGGGCTCGTTCTGTCTGTTGTCCCACGTGATGATGATATCGGTCGAACCTCGGATTCGTTGAATACCATGTATTCCTCGAAATATTGATCTGGACCCTACGAGTTCGAGTAAGCAGGGTTTTACTGTACATGCAGATGTGCAATAGTGGTTTTAAAAAATTCCTAAAGTCAAGGACTCTGTTTCTAGAAATAGAACCGGGATTATGCTGTCAAAGCTACATCAGATAAGGCCCTTACAGAAGGCCATATTTTCTGAAATTTCTTGGATGATACACTGTAATTATATGCAGATGTGCAATAGTGGTTTAAAATTCCTACGGTCAAGGTTGCTGTTACTAAAATCAGAAACAGGAATATACTGTCAAAAATACATCATATAACGCCCTTACAGAAGGCCAATTTTTTTTCAAATTTCACAAGATGGTAAAATTATGCAATAGGGCTTTAAAAAGGTACGAAGGTCAATGTGCCATTACTTTAAAATAGAACAGGGCATATACTGTCAAAATTTATTGTGAATGTTCCTTCCTGAAAAGTCAATGATCACTCTCGCTTTTGCTTGGTGCTTATACGGTAGATACCCATGCTGTTACAATCATCAGACAAAGGGTGACTGTTTTTTAACATTAACTATAGCTAACAATGGTCAGTCACTTGCCTGGGTTATAGGTTATGTCTTTTTGTAACACCCTTGAAATTTGGATTGTCTTTCACATTTCTTGTTGGGGGGATCTGAATGACTATGTCTTGTTAATAGTCAAAGTGCTAATGTTGTTTGTATTTCTCATTTGAAGGTCACGCCTGTATATAGAGGGCAGGCTGGAAAACAGGTCCAGTAAAGGTAAAGACGGAAAGCAACAGTACAGAACTTCTGTGGTTGCTGGTAGGTGTGACAAATATTTCATTTTTAAAGCGATTCATTTAAGGTGGGGGGAAAAATCAGTTGTTCTCTCTAAAATGGAACATTGAATAAAACATTTATCTCATCTGATTGTTGTCTCTAAACTGGTAGATTGTCTTTACTTGTTAGCCTAATGAAACTTTGCTGGTTAGTTTTGGTGATATTACTTTTCAAAGAGAAAATCATTTATTGAAATATTTTTTGTTTGTTTTACAGATCTCATCATTGTTTTAGCACTAAAGGAGAAAACAGAAGAACATATTTCATTTGACACAGATAGGACATGAGACTTTAAAGAGTCCTTACCTTTGATGTAATGTCGGCATGATGAGGACAGTAACCTTTGATGTAATGTCAACATGATGAGGACGGTTACCTTTGATGTAATGTCAGCATGATGAGAACAGTTACCTTTGATGTAATGTCAGCATGATGAGGACAGTAACCTTTGATGTAATGTCAACATGATGAGACCGGTAACCATTGATGTAATGTCAACATGATGAGACCGGTTACCTTTGATGTAATGTCAACAGGTTGAGGATGGTTACCTTTGATGTAATGTCAATATGATGAGGACAGTTGCCTTTGATGTAATGTCAACATGATGAGACCGGTTACCTTTGATGTAATGTCAACATGATGAGGACAGTAACCTTTGATGTAATGTCAGCATGATGAGGACAGTGACCTTTGATGTAATGTCAGCATGATGAGGACAGTTACCTTTGATGTAATGTCAACATGATGAGACTGGTTACCTTTGATGTAATGTCAACATGATGATACTGGTTACCTTTGATGTAATGTCAACATGATGATACTGGTTACCTTTGATGTAATGTCAACATGATGATACTGGTTACCTTTGATGTAATGTCAACATGATGAGACCGGTTACCTTTGATGTAATGTCAACATGATGATACTGGTTACCTTTGATGTAATGTCAACATGATGATACTGGTTACCTTTGATGTAATGTCAACATGATGAGGCCAGTTACCTTTGATGTAATGTCAACATGATGAGACCCGTTACCTTTGATGTAATGTCATCATGATGAGAACATTTACCTTTGATGTAATGTCACCATGATGAGAACATTTACCTTTGATGTAATGTCAACATGCTGAGACCCGTTACCTTTGATGTAATGTCAGCATGATGAGAACATTTACCTTTGATGTAATGTCACCATGATGAGAACATTTACCTTTGATGTAATGTCACCATGATGAGAACATTTACCTTTGATGTAATGTCACCATGATGAGAACATTTACCTTTGATGTAATGTCACCATGATGAGAACATTTACCTTTGATGTAATGTCACCATGATGAGAACATTTACCTTTGATGTAATGTCAACATGCTGAGACCCGTTACCTTTGATGTAATGTCAGCATGATGCGAACATTTACCTTTGATGTAATGTCAACATGATGAGAAAATTTACCTTTGATGTAATGTCAACATGATGAGACCCGTTACCTTTGATGTAATGTCAGCATGATGCGAACATTTACCTTTGATGTAATGTCAACATGCTGAGACCCGTTACCTTTGATGTAATGTCAGCATGATGAGAACATTTACCTTTGATGTAATGTCACCATGATGAGAACATTTACCTTTGATGTAATGTCACCATGATGAGAACATTTACCTTTGATGTAATGTCAACATGCTGAGACCCGTTACCTTTGATGTAATGTCAGCATGATGAGAACATTTACCTTTGATGTAATGTCAACATGATGAGACTGGTTACCTTTGATGTAATGTCAACATGATGATACTGGTTACCTTTGATGTAATGTCAACATGATGATACTGGTTACCTTTGATGTAATGTCAACATGATGAGGACAGTTACCTTTAATGTAATGTCAACATGATGAGGACAGTTACCGTTGATGTAATGTCAACATGATGAGGACAGTTACCTTTGATGTAATGTCAACATGATGAGAACATTTACCTTTGATGTAATGTCAACATGATGAGAACAGTTACCTGTATTGTAATGTCAACACAGTGAGGACAGTTATCTTTGATGTAATGTCAACACATTGAGGACAGTTATCTGTAATGTAATGTCAACACATTGAGGACAGTTATCTGTAATGTAATGTCAACACATTGAGGACAGTTATCTGTAATGTTATGTCAACACATTGAGGACAGTTACCAGTTGGTAGTAGTGCTATGTCGGTAGAGAAGGGACAACTAACTGCAGGGAATGAAAATAGCTGAGGAAATTACAACGGGTACTTTTTTGAACAGAGATAGTTTGAACAATGTTTTATTTAGCGTGTTGTGAAGCATTTTTATCAATTTTAGCAGAGGTTAGCTTGCTGGTTAATTACAAGTGTGACATTATTTTGAGGTATAATGTAGAATTACTCTACTACAGGAGTTATTAAATCCGTTTTTAATCAAAACAGTGAATGTTTTGGATGTTGTACTACAAAACGGAGACTATCAAACAAGTAAATAGAGGATATGTCATAAGTTTCCCTTCATATTAGATTTATGATACAAGTTTTGGATTTTTCTTGTTTGCGAGCCTCTGGTGAACAAATATGAAAAATACAAAACAAGTATCATAAAAGATATATATTATTGTTTTTGTTATTTTAAATGTGAGTTGTTTTTCCAACTTAAGTATCAGCATATTTTTTAATTACAGTACACGGGCAAAATTTCTTGTTGTCATTATAACCAAAAATTTTTGCCTGTGTTGTAAACTTTATACATATGTATATAACTGTTGAAACCGCTATACAGACTGTGAATATAAATGTTTTATTAGTCATTTTCATCATTTCATCATTTATACAGTATTATCTCTTGTCATAACTAATTGCCTTTGATCCCCTGTAAGGACTAAGTATGATCAGACCAGAAGATGGCCCAAACATTTTCCAAAAAATTAAGTCTGTTTAGAGGTAAGATTCAGGATATTGTTTTAATAAATAATTTTTATAAGCGTTGAAGATCGTCTAAGTGTTTTCCCAAAAAATTAAGTCTGTTAAGAGAAATTTCTAATTTATTTTAGAAAAATGATAAATTAACCTAGGATAATTTGACTACATGACATTTTCAAATGAAAATGATGAGAGAAAAGCATTCAGATCGAGGCTGGTGAAGGGAGATAAAAAAGAAAATGGACAAAATAGTAAACTCCTGTCAGCATTAAAAAGTTTAATGTGAGCGGTCAATGTTTCACAACCTTGATATTGGTATATATACTTAGATGTATCACAGCCTTATTTCTTTTATCATTTGGACCAATGCTGTCCGTAAATTAATTGAATATTTGCTTGACATTTTACTTTAGCATTTTAAAAAACAATTAGGGCCAAAATTGTGTCTTACCATACCTAGTCCTTTCATAAACATGTGCTTGAGATGCAGTGTATGTGTGTGATGGATGTTTGACAATAAAATGTCAAAAGTTTTACCAGTTATGAGTTCTTCTTCAATGTGGAGTTTGTCTCAGTATGACATTCCCTGTTTTAGCCCCTCCCTAATAAGGCTGAATCTATCATGACTCGGAATATTAGTTTGCAACACACTAAACATAGTTATCACATAAGAAAGGCCAAATTATCACCATGCAAATATGGGTTTTATAAAAAGTGAAGGTTGAATGTTTGATTGGACAAAGGTTTCCTGGTGTCATATAAAAATTATATCCCCCATAAGTACTCATCTGGATAGGTATTTCATAGGGACCAAAATTGTATAGGACACTGTATTCTGTATTTTTATTCATCACCATTTCTTTATGTAAGAAAGCATTACAAACTACACAAACCCTTCACATTCACTACAGTCTGTTACAGAGAAAACACTTGATGTTTTGTCACTCTGCAGTACATTGTCACAAAATAGTGACCATTACCTTTGTCCTGTGATATGTAGTGACCCTGACCTTAACATGTACAACTGCAGGAACTTGTTCAAGATGTTCTCTTACTGGACCATTTAAACAAAAATATTGAGCAGTTAAGTGACTATATTGACGACAACAAAGTGTGCAAGTGTGCTCAAGGTGTGTACTTGAACTTCAAAAAAGGTCATCCTCTAATCAAAACCCTACAATTGTCTAAAGTTTGAATGAGATTGAATAAGAAGTTTTTTGAGCAATCATGCCAACAAGCCACGACCAGAAATCACAAGTTACACCCTTTATTACATTTGATGTATGATCATGAAGTTGAAAAAAAGGTATGGCTAAACCCTTTGTCGTTGTCGATCATCGTACAAAGTTCTGTCACACCTTTAGTTTAAAACTCCGGTAGCCATAGGCTTTAATTATGGTATGCATTCTCCTGCAACTCTGAATAAGTTTGCTAACAAGACATTTTCTACTCGACTCAGCAGGTAATAAACTAATGAATAGATTTCAATGATATTTGCTGATAACAATCCTTGCAGCTTGGAGATGTGGGTAAAGTACTTTTAATTGGGTTATCTCCCCTTTTCACGACCTTTTGGCCCTTGATTCATAAACTTTTTTCTAGACCATGACATTGTATAGAAAACGCAAGATTTTTTTAATTTTATATTTTACACATAACAGGTTTTTTTGTCAGGTTTCAACAATCTGCGTTTTTGAAAGGTCAAAGGTCACAAATGAATTACGTTACTGAAATGGCTAAATATCTCTGAAACGGAAGGTATTTTGTATACACATGTATACATTAAATGTTGTGGGTATTAATGCCATCTACTATACTGACAGCTTCCAAGGTCAGAGGTCAAAGTTCACGAATGAATTACGTTACCGAAATGCCTAATTATCTCGGAAACGGTAGGTATTTTGTATACACATACATAAGAGTATCGTAGCCAATTATGCAGGCTATATAATGAAAAACTTCCAAGGTCATGAGGTCAAAGGTCACCGATGCATTATGTTACTGAAATGGCTAATCAAGGCAGAAATGGTAGGTATTTTGTATACAGATTCAAGCTACATTGTGACAAAATTCCGAGGTCAAAGGTCACAGTAGTGGTGTTTTTTTTCCATCGGTCTGTCGATACGACATCTGAGGTAAGACTTTTTCATGACCCTTGATCTTTCTATATATGTTTTCCCTCATTTATTTAACCCCTACAGGGGAAACGAGAAGCCTGAATACAGGAGTTATTAGTTAGCCCATAGACGATGTCCCGCCATACTTTTAACACTAGCAATCTGCTTGTCGGGCGACATCCAGGGCTTGGAACCAAAACCATTACTTTGGCCTTTACGGGTGTGAGCATAGAGCAACGAGAGTCGGAACTACATGAAATATACTGAAAACCTCTTGACAATATCGATAAACGGGCTAACATATTAATCTAGACAAACGTCAGACCTCCCAACAATGACCTTAGCAGTCTGTATCAAACCAGTATCCACCCAAAGGAACTGTCGTAACGATACCAATAACAAGGTCAATCCAAACAAACAATACAAGAGCAAGAGGAAGATGTCGGGTTTCGCACTGCAGGAACAAGAAAGCAAACTGGTTTTACTAAGAGCATATATCTAGAAATTGGAAGAAAGAAACATGCAAAAGCAAAACGCTGTAACAAAACTTCAAACGCGGATCGCAGGTCCCAGTTTCACAAACTTTTTTAAAAGAACTTTCTGAACTTATTTTTTTTCACTGAAAGCATTGCTTCTGTTAAGAAAAATATTTTATTTCCCCCTAAATTTCAGCACTGTTTTCCATTGGAAAATTTTCAGTTGAGGAATTTCCTGGAGTTAGGGAACGTTCGTGAAAATGGAACCAGTCTTTACAGGGAAATCGCACCACAGCGACGGATCACGAGTCCCTCCTGTCAAAACACATTATCGGACCTAAAGCCACCTACATCACACGTCTGCACAGAGCTAGAATTCATAAAGGAATAGTTGACATGATACAAATGAAAATCAGGCTTCGAAGCCAGCAAAATCTACAAATACTACTGGAAGCTAAAAAATATCAGCTGTTACTAATTCGTTTTTGTTTCTAGCAGTCTAAGACCTAACAAACAAAGGATACAACCCAGCAAGTCGAAACGATGTACATTACAGAAACTACACGAAACGATGTACATTACAGAAACTACACAAAACGATGTACATTACTGAAACTACACGAAACGATGTACATTACAGAAACTACACGAAACGATGTACATTACAGAAACTACACAAAACGATGTACATTACAGAAACTACACAAAACGATGTTCATTACAGAAACTACACAATACGATGTACATTACAGAAACTACACAAAACGATGTACATAACAGAAACTACACGAAACGATGTACATTACAGAAACTACGCAAAATGATGTACATTACAGAAACTACACAAAACGATGTACATAACAGAAACTACACGAAACGATGTACATTACAGAAACTACACGAAAAGATGTACATTACAGAAACTACACAAAACGATGTACATTACAGAAACTACACAAAACGATGTACATTACAGAGACTACACGAAACGATGTACATAACAGAGACTACACAATACGATGTATATTACAGAAACTACACAAAACGATGTACATTACAGAAATTACACAAAACGATGTACATTACAGAAACTACACAAAATTATGTACATTACAGAAACTACACGAAACGATGTACATTACAGAAACTACACAAAACGATGTACATTACAGAAACTACACACAACGATGTACATTACAGAAACTACACAAACGATGTACATTACAGAAACTACACAAAACGAAGTACATTACAGAAACTACACAAAACGATGTACATTACAGAAACTACCCGAAACGATGTACATTACAGAAACTACACAAAACGATGTACATTACAGAAATTACACAAAACGATGTACATTACAGAAACTACCCGAAACGATGTACATTACAGAAACTACACATAACGATGTACATTACAGAAACTACACGAAACGATGTACATTACAGAAACTACACGAAACGATGTACATTACAGAAACTACACAAAACGATGTACATTACAGAAACTACACAAATCAGATCGTGGTAAAATAAGGCACAATTAGTCTGCATGAACTTTGGTTGTTCGACTTATGAAACTGAGAACTTTCCAGATTTTTCCTCCCACGTAAAAATATGTGGACAATTGAACCCCGCTTTACCAGCATACAGTTTAAAAGGATACGAAGGTGAAGTCATTAACCGGACGACAAAATACAAATGTACATCATAGTCATTTAGAAGATTCTAGACGCAAGCCACACGACAACTGCTATCACTATACAGACAGAAGCCAACCCAACCTAAATTCCAACATGCCGTGCAGGGAAGGAGTGGTACCTTCTCAGAATTTAATAAGATGAGATGAAAGAAATAACAAAGGCCAACTGGAATCTAGCAACACCATAATATAATACACCATGTTTGTGTGATATCAACAGATCACTGTATAGACAACCAGGCAATCAGTTTGACGTTACACTACGGAACTTCATGGTAGAACTGAAACCGTGCCGATAGTAGTTTGTTTGTTTGTGTTTTACGTCCTATCATTTAAGGACGTGTCAGTTATGGTGTTGGCGGAAAACCGGAGTTCCCGGAGAAAAAAACACCCCACCGACCTACGGCCAGTACCTCGCGACTGTCCAACGTGAACGTAGGCCTCGAACCGCGACCCAGTTGTGGAGGGCTAGTGGTATCACAGATGCTCGATCGGGTTCGGGAATATATGTGATATATTATCGCACCCCACTAGATAATATGATTTAGATATCGCACCCCCTTATACTAATACATCATATGGTTTATTAGTATAAGGGGTGCGATATCTAGTGGGGTGCGATAATATATCACATATATTCCATGAAGAAAGCATCTATTTCAGATATGTTGCAGAATACCGAACAAAGAAAACAGTTTACTGCAGCATGTGGTCATTGGTCATTGATTTTGCCCATTCAAGCGTTCATCAGTGGTATTAAATGTTAGGGAATGAAAGTTCAAGTCTGGGGTGTTCTGAAACATAAAGAGAAATACAGCGAAAGGACAATAAGAAGGATGAAGACATATCCAAAAAACCGACCAAACTCATAGAGACCAATATCAAAACATTAAGTAGACGGGAAATCATAGAGAGATGGATAAAATAACCACAATTAACAACCGCACTTCGAAGGCAATATGTACAGACATCGCCTTCAGAGAAGAGCAACACAAGACATGTTCAGCAACTAACGCCATCTCACTCAACACTTACTTGTGAACATCTGATTAAGAAGTCAACAACTCAATCATACCATCATTAACAACGCAAGCACCAAATGGAACTTGGAAAACTAAAGTGGCTACAATCACGCTAGTCTGGCAAACAGAACTGGCATCGATAAAAGTAACGACGGCGGTATTTCAAGGTATCGACAGAGACATATTGGGAAGAAAGTGCGTTACATATAATGGAAAGTTAAGCACGAAAATAGTCCTTTATCTGAGAATAGTGAAATATAGCTCAAAGGCACATCTGTAAGATTATCGTTCTTTATTCTACATGGGGGTATAGACCGACTTCGTTCGGCAACTAGAATGTGAAAACCAAGTGTATGCATTATCACTTTTTTTCCTTTTATCTGAAATTTGAAAAAGTTTTGCCACATATTATATATGAGAGCTAACGATAATGCATTCATCACACAAGTACATTTCAAACCCGCCGTGTTCACGGCGGAATGTCTTTAACCTGCCGTATGGCCATTTTACCTTACAAGGCACAGTGCATCAGTTTCTTTACACTGTCATGGTAGCGGAAGGCATCGATTATAAATTCCGTTTAACACGTCAAGTAGATTTCCAGACAGTTGCAATGTATTTCAGGAAATCTTCGGTTGTCGCAATCAGTCGACCCTTCCGTATTGTTTGTCTGTCACTTAGATGGTCATCTTTTTTCCCTCCATCTATGCGTGTTGGCGGATGCCACTTGCGGAATAGGCAATGTTGCCCTATTGTTAAAACCCAATTTGACACCTGGACCCAGTTGCTCGAAGGGTGAATAGCTTAATCACTCTTTAACAACATTGTTCGACCTCTAGTAAGTTGGTGTATATAATGGGTAAAACGTCGTAATGATGTACGTAATTTTACTTTACTTAATATTTGCCATCTGCAAAGTTTTAAATCTGTTAATGGTTGTGTTTTAAAGATACACAAAAAAATGTTTTGATAATTACTAATTAAGCTTATCATCTTTTGAACAACTGGGCCCAGACGTCCATTACAGTATTCACACCTCAATAATATTGTTTTGAAGGCTTACAACGACCATGTCGGTGATAAGGTCTGTTCACGTGTCACTACCAATCACACACTAAATAGTCGATACTTACATACATCTTCACAAACACAAAAATCAACCACTTTTGGTTTTTCTATGGTTTAACGAGGAATTGCACTGTAAACATACACGACATTTATCGTACCATATTTCTGATTTCCAGTGTAGGACGCATATTGCAGTGAAACGTATTGTTCAGATAATATATAATAACGATAAGTCGTGCTATCTTTATTTTAACAAAATTTTAGGCGACGATATCATATTCTAAGATGTACAGCTCCGTTAGCTGAAAGGAAGGAACCATGGTTACCATATATTAGTTGAATTACGTACGTACCATTTCTCTCTCGATCAAGATTGAATTTAATTTACTGTCATCGTATATCATATCATGAGTATGTGAATAGTGGACAGCGTAACTAGCCAAAGTTTGCGTATGTGGGTCTGAAGATTTAAAGGGGACTTGTCGTGGTGTAGTAAAATAGTAATATGAAGTCATGGCAACAGCATTCTCCCGTTATGGCGGTTTAAAACTTAATTTAATGATGAATGCATTGTTGAAATATTGCAGAATTTAAAAAAATCGTACGTAAAGAAAAAGATAGCTTAGTATAAGTTCTTCTAGAAACACAAGTTACTGCAAAAGTCAATCTAATTAAACTTGAATTATATCTACACATCGCTCCCGTTGCGTATCAGAAAAAGATTGTGCAAAAGTAAAAATGACGTACAGATTATTAAAAAATATAGAGCGCTAAAAATAATTTCATAGAATACTAGCAACAACTTGAATTATGTATGAACATATACTTATTCAAGCCATATGTTTTTAGTTGTCTTTATTAATCTTAATCAGCATCCTGACTATTTTCGGTGGAAAAAAATCCTGATCCGCTCTGCCAACTCCCACTGTGGCTGGTGGCTTTCTGAATTACAAGTTGTATTTGAAAGTAGTGCTTCTTTGAAAGACTGTCAGTGTCAAAACCAAAAAAATCTATATATTTTTTAAAACGATTCATTTCCCATTTAAAAAAGATTTGGTTTCAATTGCTGACCAAACGATCACTGTTCGGTGTCGATGTGACTAGAAAGAGTTGTGGTTCTTTAAGCAAAGTGGGTGGGAGCTACCGGAAGTGAGTGAGGGTGCTGAATCCAAAATGGCGCTGCCCTGTTAAAATTCTCGGGGATTGTCTTGTTGTCATGATATAGCTTGATTTTGTGTTTGTTCTGATACAAGTAATGAAGAAAAATGAGTGTGAAAGCTTTCGAGTTGGTCCCCGCGATCGAGCGGATAAAGTTGATGTCCGATAAGGCAAAGACGCAGGTAAATATTGACATATGCTCGTAGAAAATACTTTTTGTGACAGTTCAGTTGATAACGACAGTATAGATCGCCGGTCGTCGGTTGTCGGGATCGCTGGTCGATCTCTGATTGTGCGTGATGCTCCGTTTAAGTGTAAGAACTGATGAGAGATAAATCACATTGTATCGTCAGTACATTGTATGTACCAAAGTACTCTTGTAGAAAAACAATTTACTTGCATTGACGGCTTATTCGACCATTAACTGCAATTAGCACTGTTCTTCCTGTCGTTGTAAGTCTTGGACTTGTGAGACTGTCCTATATCTTGTTGTCATCGATACTTTAGCGTTGCGATATGGGTGACAGTACCCAAATAGGATCACTTTTTGCAAAAATACTTGTGTCAACAAATCAGTTATAACAATGATGTAGTCTTAGAATAGATAGCCTGCACCATTTTTTGTCTACAGATGATTAGTTTTTAAGTTCAAATAGCACAAGAAAACGTAATTCAAACTGATCAAATGTCAGTGTTTTGATCACGTTTTTAAAAAATGGCGCGTGTGACGACTATGCATTCTGTTTTGGATTATAGGAATAAATTTACACTATAGAAATACTTTTTGTCATATACATTCTAAAGGTCATCATAAAATGGTAATATGCTGACAAAAAAATATTCATTTGAAGTGTAAGATACTGCAAAATTCAAGCCTTGGTCCGATTTGGGTCCTGACATTTGCAAATTGATTGGTGACTTCAGAGCATTCTATAAATATCTCAAGTGAGCCCTGAGTACCTTGCAAATTTCATTTGTAAGAACACTCATCGATATTCTTCCTTTGATACAACCATAAATGAGTATAATTAAATTCCTCCTCAGATTAATGAGATTACATGTAGTTGATGAGATGTCCGTTGCACAGACCAAATTTTTAAGATTCGTTGTGTTACAATATATTTCATAACTGTTTTGATTAATAGTATAACTTTTCCGTTTTTATACTTCTTCTTGTCAAAATGATTGAAGGCTTTAACTGTATTGAAGACTATGGTGACGTCACATCCTATGTATTATGACGTCATATGGCATTTTTCACAGGGTGGCGAATTTGGGTGCATGGCGCATTTGCCTGCACTAACATTATAGTTTATCCTGTTCAAAACGAATAGGCTCGAAGTCTCGCATAAACGGATTGATGTACAATTCCTCAGCTGGTGTGTAAGAATACTATACAATATCATATTACCTATTATCATTTATTGATCGAAACAAGCTCTTGTGGTTCCAATTGCAAAATACCAAAAGAATGGAAATTACATTTGTGTAATTAAAACCATGTATTCAGTCATAGCTTGTTGAAGAATGTAAGTTTAAGTTCAAATAGACTGGGTCCTTTGCTAGCAACAAGGCATCTCAGTTGGTAATTAGGGCAACTGTTTTATAGAGTTTAAAGGACCAGGTTTGAATCCTTGTCTTGTCATATTTTTCTTCTTTTGCAAACATCTTGTTTATGTAATATTTGTAACTGACTGATGGAATGACTCTTCCCGGTCGTTTTTTTGGTTATATAAATTATTACTGTATTTCCTACTTCTCCAAACTGAATTTGTTTACCTCTCTAATGGATATACATGTAAGACAATCGTTGGGAAACATGCACATAGATCTCCTTTCCAATGAGTATCATCTAAGAAACTTACAAATATCTTCATACTTGACATGCTATACCTAGTTAATTCATTGATGACACTTTTTGATCTCCCAAAAATACATCAGAATGCTCAGTTTATTCCAAGTTAACCTATGAGATATTGTAAATTAAACATTTATTAAAGGTATGTGCAATTTCAAAATTAACAAATTCAATGTTGATCCATCATAAATGGTAAGATATCATCTGCTTTATTTCATTCTTTTTTCCCCCCTCCGGATTGAATGTATCGATTTCTGTGGGAAAAATTTGTACATCGGAACTAGTGATTGGTAAGTTTAATACATGTACTGCAATTATTGATACAGTTATAAAATCTGTAATTATCATTATGACTGTGTCAGTGTCCTACTTTGTATTATATTGGCAATTCTAGCTGTATCATTTGGATATAATTATAAGAGCTAGTCTATCACTCAAGTGCAATATGAAGGTTCATAGACCCTTTCCACACTTCGGGGGAAATCAAAGGGTCTCAACCAAACTGGACAAGAATAAAATTTTAACAATTCACTAGCTGTATATGTCTATACATCTGTTAACTTTTCAAATTCTGAAGAGTTGATAATGTTGATTGTGACCAAACTTGATACAAACAACTGGTAGGCTACATTTAAATGATTGAATTAAAAAAAAAAAGTTTCGAGTTCTGATATATTGTCAAATATGTAGTATATATATTTCTCTTCCAGTTTTGTTGTCCATTACATGATAGAAGAGCGCCAGTCATCTAGTGGCAAAGTTGTATTTCATAATGAAAAACTCGGTCATAAGTACCTGGCTTTGGTAAGTATGAGACAGTTCTCTAGTACCTTATGAGTGGAGGTTCGTGGGTATCGGTTATGGATTCTTGATCAGGTTATAACATGTATGTACCGGTATAAAAAGACGATACTGGGGTCATATCTAAAGTGTTGTGTAACATAATGCATAAAATTAAAGTGTCTTAAAAGAATCCATTTCTTGATATTACATTAATTGATTTTGACATCATCTTGTGGCGTTTCAAGTGGATGCCAGTTTAAGACTAACTGTCGAAATTCTGATGTTTTTCAAATAATTTGTGCGTCGAATACACCACAGCTATGAGTGATCTTGTAAAACATGTTCAATACTGTACATGTGGTATCTACAACAATATATATGTAGATATCACACATACCTTTCACCAATATATCCAGAGTTTAATTCTGCCATCAGATGTGAAAATGTATTGGGTAACCTTTCCAACCATGTGGGTTTTCTTTCGGTTATCTAGCTTCCTCCTACATTAAATCCAGGCCGACAAGATTGATAAATACAAGTTGTTGACAAAACTTATTTCATAATTCATTAATAGTTATGAAATAAATAAAGTTTATTTTCACAACTATTAGGAATGATTTAACAAGTATTTTTATGATTCCAGTTTTATTTAATTGCTTAAATGGTTCAATAAAGATGGCAGCCATTTTTGTTTGGTTTTGAAAGAAAACATTTGCATGACAGTTTGAAGTATTTACAATCATTAAACGTAAAATGAAATAAAAAATATCTTTAAAAAAGCAGAATGTTCATGCATGTGGTTACCATGTGCAACTTTGGTATCGAAAACCAAGTCCATATTTTGTAAAACTACAGTTATTCCCAATCAAAAAACAGTCCGCATTCATTATCCACTGTCTGTGTCAAGTGATGTGATGTATTCACAAAGCAATGTTACGCAGCTCTGCTAAAAAACATCTTATTTGATATGTTTTCTCTTGTAGAAAAAGCCAGTTGCACAACTGAAGGCAGCGTCAGCTTTAAATAGAATCTTGGTCCTGTGTGATAATACTTTGACACTACTCAACATGTTTGATTTAGAAGTAAGTCAATAAACATTTGTATTGTGGTTCAAAGGGTGTGACATTTAACATGTTAAACTTTAAAAATGTTTAATATGGAGGTAATTGATCAATGTACTTTAGTACAACGTAATTACTAAACAGGTTATTTATGTAGTGAATGATTGATGCTCTTCATTTCAATGTAATTAATAAATAGTTAATTCATGTTGATTATATAATTAAGTAAACGATCGATGCATTTGATCCAAGATGAATAAATTAAAATGTTTAATTAAGAGGTAATTTATGAAGATGTTTGAGACAGAGGTTATAAATCAACATGTTTTATATATTAAATATTTGAGGGTTGCTCATTGATTACTATATATGTATATTACAAATTAAGTGAAAAAATCAATATTATTGCAAAAACTTAGTCAAAATATTGTAGTTTTCTGCCTAATGAGAGAAAAAGTTGTCAAAATATTATAGTTTTCTGCCTAATAAGGGGAAGAAATTGTACCTTATTGGGTATTATGGAGCTGAAAGATTTGTTATTTGTTATGTATTTCCTACCCGAACTGAAATTTTCTTGTTCAGAAATATAAAAGTTAATGAAAAACCTTATCAAGCTAACACATTTGATATTTCTGTGACGTCTTATGTTGAAGGTAACATCTGCTGTAACTTTCATTGATCATGATAATGTCATTCATCTCATCACTGCCAGAAATGTGGTGAAATTTTAGGTTAATTTTATAAAGATTAGAAACACACATTGACAGATTTATATACTTGGTAACCATCACCGTTTGGAGTAGGATGCTGATATTTGGCATGGAAGTTTCTTAGTATCTCAGCAATGGTGCAGTGTGGAAAAAATAGTAAAAAAAAAAAAGTTTACCTGTTTCAGGCCAGACTGTTGATTAGGTTTTCTAAATTGTTATCTATCAGATCTTTTTAAATAATACAATTCACTTCAATTATAGGGATGCCTTAAATGTGCTATTTAACTTGGGGCGAAAAACAAGACTTTGTTTATTTTACACCGCATTAAAAATCAGGCTGTTTTTTCAATCTGGAATGAAAATAATCTTTAAATAATTAACTTTCATAACTCTCTGTGTTTCAGTGCTAAACTGAAGTCCTTTATTGTACCCAACAGTCCTGTTACTATGTCATGAAGTATCTTTAGATGTTTCACCAGACAGGTTTTAAAACTTGGTACCAGTGCTTCTCGTAGGATTAGATTATACCGTTCTAATTAAAATCTGGTATTTCATTGCCCTTTGTTTTTCTGTACTTGAAACAAGGAAATGTGATGGAGCCAGATAACAAAGTGCAATGAGAAATCTGATTCAATATGATTAAAACCAAGTTTTCAACTGAACAAAATGATAGATAATCTAAATCTATTATAATCAGATTACATATCTTGATAGCAGAGTGTAGTTTACGGAACGGAGCGTATATCAATGGTAATATGCAATGTTTTAAAAACTTGTTCATAAGTTTTTCTATAGAGGCTGCTTGCATTTTTTTTTTTTTCAATTTCATTTCAGCCAATCCTGAGTGGAGCTAAGGTAAAAGGAGTGACTTGTTTCTGTTTGAATGAAACTCCATCTCGTGGTAGTCCGTTTAGTGTAGAGGTAAGTATCTATATCCTATAGCCCCCTATGGGACAATTCTCTGTCTATTTGTTGAGAGTTGTTTGACTTCTTTTCTTTGACATCTATTATACCGCCCAACAGAAAGTGAGTGAGGAAGGAGATCTATACAAGAATCAGTTTGTCCTTTTCACTCGCTGTAAGCACAATCTGGTCCAGACACTTGTACCACAGTTTTCATTTCAGTTCCTTGAAATTTTTACCATCATTATTATGTAGTTGTGTACATTTTTTATATATACAGATTCCATGATTTTTGACAGAGTTTTATTTCTTTTTGTACTTGGAGCATATAACATTCTTGTTTGCACATTAAGTCTCTTTTATAGAAAACTAAGTGTAATTTAATTTTCCTTTTGTGTTGTTTGAAACCTGACAGGTTGGTTGGTTGGTTAGTTTTCAGGTTTATCACCTACATGACTCCACCCATTCAGGTTTGTCTCAGTGACGGAGGTCGGTGTTCTGTTGGCGTGAGGGATATTGCCTTCGGGTACCTGACAGGGTTAAGCACCATCATATGTCGTGCATGTATATCTGGCATACCAAACCAATGAGGTTTATTAGAGTTATTGCCCTTTGTGTATAGGCTTGCTTGTATTAGTCGCTCGTAACTCTTTATTGAGTTTCTTTAAAATATATTGAGTTTAATCACCATGATGTTGTTTTGCATTATTATCAAACATACTACTCAGTACTGTATACTCTTCCATTGATGATACATGTGGATGAGGGGGGCATTTATTTTATTTTCTGGCTTATAGTTTTAATTTGGTTTCATTTGTAGATCTGTGTAGCCCTTAAGAAGAAACAGTTACAGTACTACACAGCGACTGAGGATCGCCTTATCCATGTAAAGGACATCTCCTTGTCGGAGCCGGCTGTGTCCTTGGTGAGAAAATCTACCAGTCACATTTACAGAAAAAAACCTTTTTACTGCCTCCATGTGACCAGCTGAGTTTTGGTATTATAAAGGGAGTTATTATCATATTTAGGGAATAGATACCGGAATTTATTACGAAAACAGAAAAAGTGTCTTTGACAAATGTTGACGGTATGTGAGATGGCAAAAGAAATAATGTACTGATAAGCCCATCCATGGAATTATGTCCAGTTCCATTTTTGCATATTTGGTGAATTTACTGAGATGTGAGGTTTGTTTGAAATTTTTTCAACGTGTACAATTTAGATTACCAGAATATTTCTACTCAACTGTAAGAAAGGTATATTGCTACATTTCAGGGTGTGGATGGAAGCTACATATGTGTTGCCACTACCAGCCAGTATTGTATGGTCAACTACGAGTCTGGACACATGCAGGACCTTTTCCCGTTTGACAGTGAAACCAGCAAACCTCTCATCAGACGCATCAGCAAGGTCAGTAGGAATCCACTAGGAGTTGTTGATGGATAATAGAAAGGGTAATGTGAGATAGAAACAAATTGTTTCCATATGAAGAAAAACTGAGCTACTTAAATCATGATTTTAATAATTGTGAGATTATCATCAGGAAACATTGTCTAAAAAGAATATCAAAATTTCAAATTATTTAGAAAAGAGTTTTCTTCATATTTATACAGTAATCATGTTTACTTTTTTAATCACTCATTAGCAAAAACAAGGAAGTTAAATTGAACTCAAGTGTCAGGCTGATTTGAAACCATCATCAGTTGTGCATATATATAATGTTGTAAATATGACATAAGAATTATTGAACATAACTGAATCTTGGTGAATCCAAGAATTTGGAAAATCTAAAATGGAAAATATAAATACTCTGTGACGCTGTCAAACCTCCTTTATTTCTATCTCAAAATCAGGGAAACCTCCACGGTTCTTAATTCTAAAACTTTGACAGGTCTGTTTTACTGATATTGCACAGTTCATGATGTTTGTGTTACCAGGAGGAGTTCCTGCTGAGTGGACCAAGTGCCCTGGGTATGTTTGTGACGTCGGCGGGTATATCACAGCGACCTCCTCTACAGTGGTCAGAAAACCTCATGGGAGTGAGCTACATCCATCCCTACATCATAGCTGTTAATGATGAGTTCATCACGATACATAGGTGAGGTCATAGATCAAAGGACAAGGTAATACAGCATCTCACAATGATACATAGGTGAGGTCATAGATCAAAGGACAAGGTAGTACAGTTTCCCACAATGATACATAGGTGAGCTCATAGATCAAAGGACAAGTTAATACAGCATCTCACAATGATACCTAGGTGAGGTCATAGATCAAAGGACCAGGTAGTACAGTATCCCACAATGATCCATAGATGAGGTCATAGATCAAAGGGCAAGGTAGGACAGTATCCCACAATGATAGATAGGTGAGGTCATAGAACACTGATACATAGGTGAGGTCAGAGATCAAAGGACAAGGTAGTACAGTATCCCACAATGATACATAGGTGAGGTCATAGAACAAAGGACAGAGTATCCCACAATGATACATAGATGAGGTCATAGATCAAAGGACAAGGTAGTACAGTATCCCACAATGATACATAGGTGAGGTCATAGATCAAAGGACAAAGTAATACAGTATCCAACAATGATACATAGGTGAGGTCAGAGATCAAAGGACAAGGTCATACAGTATCTCAAAATGATACTTAGGTGATGTCATAGAACAAAGGACAAGGTAATACAGTATCCCACAATGATACAAAGGTGAGGTCATAGAACAATGGACAAGGTAATACAGTATTACACAATTATACATAGGTGAGGTCATAGAACAAAGGACAAGGTAATACAGTATCCCACAATGATACATAGGTGAGGTCATAGATCAAAGGACAAGGTCATACAGTATCTCACAATGATACATAGGTGTGGTCATAGATCAAAGGACAAGGTCATACAGTATCTCAAAATGATACTTAGGTGATGTCATAGATCAAAGGACAAGGTAATACAGTATCCCACAATGATACATAGGTGAGGACATAGAACAATGATACATAGGGGAGGTCATAGAACAATGATACTTAGGCGAGGTCATAGAACAATGATACTTAGGCGAGGTCATAGAACAATGATACATAGGAGAGGTCAGAGATCAAAGGACAAGGTCATACAGTATCTCACAATGATACATAGGTGTGGTCATAGATCAAAGGACAATGTAATACAGTATCTCAAAATGATACATAGGTGAGGTAATAGAACAAAGGCCAAGGTAATACAGTATCCAACAATGATACATAGTTGAGGTCAGAGAACAAAGGAAAAGGTAATACAGTATCCCACAAAGATACATAGGTGAGGTCATAGAACAATGATACATAGGTGAGGTCAGAGAACAAAGGAAAAGGTAATACAGTATCCAATTATGAAGTCACTTGACCGTTTGCATTGTATCACAAGCGTAAGTTTAGAAACACTCAACAGTATTGAATGAATTTCCATGGATAAAGTTAGACCAGTCTTATCTGACCCGAGTATTCCATCCTCCTATCTAAATCCAAACCTTGAGTATTCTGAGACCCAGTCTGATCTTTCATAATGATGTTATCTCATTTCTTATATATGAAAACTACCGAAGTCAGTACAAGAGGTCATATCCAAATTATTCTACTAAATTATATTTTTAAACTATTGGACTTGTTGGATGAAACTAACTGTATAAGTGTATTATTACTAGACACTAGTAGACAGTGTGGATTCTTCATTAAATCCTAATCCCCAAGGACAAGGTCAAATATCAAGTCTCTGCAAAGCTTGTCAGGACCATTTGGTCATGTAACAACTGAGTAGTGATCATTATTCAATTAAATTTATCATGAATAGACAATATGTCCGTATAGTCAAGGTCAAGGTCATAGCAAAGGGGGTAAAAGTTTAATGCACATATTAAATTTACTACATGTATTTTCTTAGTCGACCCTCAATGTCATTGTTACCCTCAAGATTTGTTACCTTCAAGGTCATGTTATCCTTAAGGCCATGTGACCTTTAGGACAACGTTACTCTCAAGGTCATGATACATTTTTAATTGCCATGTGAACAAATTGGCCTGACAAATGACTCTCCGGCCAGACAAGGATAATAGATAGTTAGGACTGAAATGTCTGGCATGATATCTACAGCTTCACGGATGCTATACATATCTTGTTTTCAGTATATTGGACCAACAGCAAAAGCAAGCCATACCTTTCCAAGGAGGGTCCTTCATAGGAAACTTTGATGGCAAAATGTTTGTAGCTTCTCAGAAAGAAATCTACTCCTTGGTTCCTGTGGCATGGGAAAAACAGGTAACGTCAGTAATATAGCAACGTCTAAAGTCTACTGGACTGTTACTGATTGAAATTCGTGCTTTTAATTCTAGTAATAGACAAGAGAGTTCCTGGAATCTTGTGTTAACATGTAATGTATTAATGATTTGCTTGTTGTAGGTACAATCATTGCTTGCGGACAAGCGAGTTTCAGAGGCCTTAGATTTAGCACGAAATGCCAACCGTGTGGGCCTTAGCAAGGATAAATTTAGCAAGGTAAGTCTTCTCTCAGATATCATAACATTTCTTAGTACATGTAGAATGGTCCCCTTTATGTGGTATCTATAAAATATTCTTGGACTTGTTCTACATTGCAAATGAAACGGACACTCCTGTAAGATACTATATGTGTTGGGGTTTCATACACAGTACTGCTAATATCTTTATCTGATGTAGTGTGTCATGTATTGATGTAGACAACCAGGTGAACATAGCATGTGAGTGGACATGTATTTCTGTATATACTTCTGTAGTGGCATATTTATTGCATACCAACATGCATGTGATCGTTTCTATAGATTTACTCATGATTATCACAGTTTAATGCTGACTTTGCCTCCTAGAAACCCAAAGTGAATACCACAACAGCAGATAAAAATAGTGTGGACGAGAGGAGACACATTTACAGTAAAGCCTCAATAATAATGCCTCTTTCAATGCTTAACTGTGAGATGGCTATAGTGTACTGTTACTCTTAATCTTATATCAGTTGTAAGATGTAACGTGTCATCTTTTCTGTCATATGTTGTTAGTTGTAAGGTTTATGATATCATCCTTTTTGTGGGAATTGCAGGTGTTTAGACGATTTGAGCAGCAGGCAGCCTTTATAGAGTTTTCCCAGCAGCACTTTGAGGAGGCTCGGGAGCTGTTCAAGGAAGGACAAGTGGACGTCAGAGAGGTAACTTACTTTGGTACCGTACAGAATATTGTTAATTATGTCTATCTTTTATTATCAGTTAACATGGTTTTGGAATGTCTAATTCTGAAAACCAGGAAAACTTCAGACAGTCCTGTAACTTAAAGTATGTATCAAAACAAATACTGGTATTCCTATGAAATGAAATACTCTAAATTTGGGTTATTATGGTCCTGGGTAATATAATTATGTTTATGATGCTGAGATGTGTAAATTTCCCCTGTCTACCATCCATATGGTTCCAATCATAAAGTATAAATAAATGGCCTCTTGTAATATTGTTTTGATCTGTGTATTTCGTAAAATGTCATGCATTGTGATAATGAAATAATAAACAGGAAAGTTAGTGTCCTGAATAGGTTGATTTTTTTCTGAGCAATTAATCTAAGCAAAAAGAAAGTTGTAATTAAACCTGAGTCAATAAAAGCGATACGGACACTGGATGGATACCTATGAGTGTGAAATAGTTTAATAAACGACATACACTACAATTTATAAACACACACATTACATGTACTCAAGACCTCCTAGTAATACCTACATACACTACAATTTATAAACACACATAACATGTACTCAAGACCTCCCAGTAATACCTACATACACCACAATTTATAAACACACATTACATGTACTCAAGACCTCCTAGTAATACCTACATACACCACAATTTATAAACACACACTACATGTACTCAAGACCTCCCAGTAATACCTACATACACCACAATTTATAAACACACATTACATGTACTCAAGACCTCCCAGTAATACCTACATGCACATATTTTACCTATACCATAATAATGTACATGTGTAAGATTTTGGAGATGATGTCATCCTAAGGCAACCATGAACATTTCTCAGCGTGTATGGCTTGACCTTCAAACTGCGTAATTTTGACCATTTCTATAGTAACCATGCACTCAAGAGAATATTTTTTCTGCATAGTGTCAAGTAGGATTGCACTTAACAGTCACTCTAATCTATTTCAAATGTTAACATCACTTATATCAAATATAGAATTTGGTTTTCAGGTCAATGGAAATAACTTCAGAAAGTTGAAGGGATCTTTATAAGTGACTGTTATTTTTTCACCAGGTGTTGAGTCTATATCCTCGACTCTTGCCATCCAACTGTAATTTTACAAGGTCTGTGCCCCTCCTTCACGAGATTGCCGATGTAAACCAGCTGAGTCGCGGGGACGAGACCGTTATGAAGGAATATCGTAATTTTCTGAGACTTTACCTGGAGGAGATACGAGGCACAAAGGATGCTGTCGGTTATAAACAGGTCTGATGTTATTATTTGGTGTAACGATTGAATATTTTCTTTCGAGAAAATATATGATTGTTATTGTCTTCAAAACTCATACTAATTGTTGCAATTTGATAAAATATTTTTAATTTGTTCATATTGGAACCTTGCTGGCCAATAACACCAAATATCAAAATTAAAAAAGCAAAGTTAATTTTGTACATTTAAATGGTTTTACTTATAAATGGAAATCTGGTAAGTTATAAAATATATTGGCAGTTCATCATCACAGGCCTCTTTTCATATTTTTTTTGTAGGAAATAGATGTTGGTTTACTGAAATTGTATGCTGAGGTTAATTCACCAGAGTTAGTTCCCCTTATTGCCGTGGATACAGGCTGTGACCTGAAGGACTGTGTTGATTGGCTGGAGAAGTATGAAAGACACCATGCACTAGCACTTCTCTACAAGGTCCACAAAGAGAATGACAAGGCCCTAGCCGTGTGGATGAGGTTAGTGTGCCAGATGAGTGCAGTAATAGTAGACAACCTACAGTCCATAATATTTCTGATGTTAATTGTACTAAAACACCTGGAGACCAGTTTTGTGATCTTTATAGTTACTGTCTGCAGGTTTCGGCCCATGTGCCTCAACTGTGGATCAGACAAATGGTGAACGGTAAAGATCACAAAATCAGTTTTGAGGTGTTAGACATCTTTTAGTTTTTGTTATGGTTAATTAGCATGGAGCCCTAGGGAATCTATCGATGATTTCACCCCAGATTGACGCCACAGTTTGATATTAGTAGAGTTGGATTACCTTATATTATTAAATGTGAATTGTGATATGAACACTGGATGAATATGTGTAACATTGATGAAGGGCAATCATTTGACTCGGCAACAACTGCTTGGTTTACAGTAATATGGTACATGTATTGCCTTTCAACTTGAATGTCGTCCTTTCAGACTCATCAATGGTGATATCAAAGACGAGAATTTTCTTGGCCTGGATTTTGTCGCAGAGTTCCTAGCAAAGTAAGATATTAGATTCCAGGGTCCTGTTCATAGCATGATTTAATTAGCATGATATCTTGTTCTGTGAAAATTCAAAAAGTTTACTTCAGAAATATTCCACAAAAATTACTGATGAATATATTTGTGGTTCATATCATCAGATGGGCATCAGCAGTCCTGATACAATGTACTGGTAAACATGTTGAAGAATTTCAATACTTAAATAGATAAAAATAGCTTGTTATCAGTAAGCTACAAAATCTAGTCAATATTTTACTGTGTAGCAAATGTATCATACAATCCAGGTTTCCATATATCATCCTTCTTTATCTTTGTAATGAATGTATGATTAGTTAATTTTAATGTTTTCTATGTTGTAGTCTTAGTGACCATGAACTGGTTTGGAAATATGTAGACTCTATACTGGTCAAGGATGCACAACTAGGGGTCAGGGTATGTAAACTGTACTGGTCAAGGATTCACAACTAGGGATCTAGTAGGTATATAGATCCATGGTGTTTATACAAAACGTAGGGGATAACCCTACTGTATTATGTGCGGCGGTATATCATGATTGTACTGTCGCAAATAGAGTTGTTCTGGTGACGCGGATCTTTGGGGATCACGCTATTGTGACGTCATGAATAAACAAATTCATGTCGCAAATTATCTTGATTGACCAATCAAGTGTTGTATTACATCTCAAATGAATTAGAATTTTGTATTTTAATGCAGCTTATGTGTGTTTTCCAAATAGATAACCTAACAAACTGGAGAGGGGGGCAGATTTAAAATCCAGATTAAAGTAAATGATGTAGGACTATAAATATAAATGTGATTACATACTGGGGAATTTTGTTTTGCATGTCTTGTCAACTTACATATAATGTGTTTACAGGTGTTTACAGAGCGGCCTGCTAAGGAGCCCCCGTCCGAGCGTTTACGACCAGAGGCTGTGATAGACTACCTACATAGGTTTCCAGAGGCAGTCATCACATACCTGGAACATTTGGTGTTTCAAAAGAAGCTAGAGGTTAGAACAACATCAGCACAAAACATTTAAAAAGATTTTTCTGTTTTAGTTCTCCTATTCGAGGAACAGAGGGGGCTAATGTAGTCACCCCCGTGTCGGCGTCCAATTTCACTGAGGTTACATTTTTTGGGCAAGTTTTTCCAGACAGTGTTGGATCAACACACTCAATACACAGTTGTCTATTATGAGGTTGAAGTATTATAGGGAGTATAAGCAATGTGCTGAACTATATTTTCATATTTTATGGGCCAAAACTGGTTAATTGGACTTGGTTAATGTTTTTTTGGCAATTTTTTATGTGCAATATTGAATCACCACCATCAATACGCTGTTGACTATGTCACATTGTCTGTTGACTATGTCACATTGTCTGTTGACTATGTCACGTTGTCTGTTGACTATGTCACATTGTCTGTTGACTCTGTCATGTTGTCTGTTGTCTATGTCACGTTGTCTGTTGACTATGTCACATTGTCTGTTGACTATGTCACGTTGTCTGTTGTCTATGTCACATTGTCTGTTGACTAATGTCACATTGTCTGTTGTCTATGTCACGTTTTCTGTTGACTATGTCACGTTGTCTGTTGTCTATTTCACGTTGTCTGTTGTCTATGTCACGTTGTCTGTTGTCTATGTCACGTTGTCTGTTGACTATGTCACGTTGTCTGTTGACTATGTCACGTTGTCTGGTCATCTCTTCTTTTGAAATGTACAACATACTACGGTACAACAAAACCTTGTCATATTGCCACCATTTTTTCAAAGAAATATTGGCATTATAAAGGGGCTTGCAATAAATTGAGGGAAAGCCTAAAGGAATTCTTAAGAAAAACATAATTAAGGGGCCTTTAAATATGTTCGTACATTTTGGGATGGTTTAGTGTTGCTAGCTGAAATCAAGTATCATGCCCTGCTGTGTACAGAGCTAGAGCCCTTTGTTAATTTTTTATGTTTGTTCTTAAAGAGAGGGTATGGACTGCTCGAAGTAATTTGCTTTGTTTTCTTATGTTTCATGATTTTATTTGAGTCAGGTTATTGATAAGACAGATTTCATTCATTTCAGTTAAAATATATGTCATTCAATAATTGATATTCCTCAAATTTTAAAGCTTCATTGTTTTTTACTTCATGTGTTTTAAGAATCCTGTGTTTCACCAAATCTACAGCTGTACATAATTCAATGTCCCTAGGAACAAATTACATGATATAGGAAGAATTCTAACTCAGACTTTTGTTTCTTTACTTGACTTAATGTTTTACAATGTAGCACAATAATTGTTTAAGTGGGCGTCGCCTGAATTTGTAATACATGTAACATCCTGTTAACAGAAAGAGAAGTACCACACCCACCTTGCAGTGCTTTACCTGGATGCTGTACTACAGCTTATGAAAGAGAACAATGTTAAAAAAGAACATTTAGATATTGCCAGGTGAGAAAAATTTGAAGCATGCATGTATTTATTTCTCAGGATTTGTTCTTAATATTTTGGAATTGCCACAAAAATAGACAGTGCATTTGAAGCAAAACATATTTTAATGTAATTAAGTCAAAGACTGAATAAAAATATATAACAGATAAAGATTTAACACAGTCTAGAACACTAATATCCCCTACCAGAGAAAGAGATGTATAATAAGAGGTTCAGTATAAAACCTTGTATCCTCTACCAGAGAAAGAGATGTATAATAAGGGGTTCACTATAAAACCTTGTATCCTCTACCAGAGAAAGAGATGTATAATAAGAGGTTCAGTATAAAATCTTGTATCCTCTACCAAAGAAAGAGATGTATAATAAGGGGTTCAGTATAAAACCTTGTATCCTCTACTAGAGAAAGAGATGTATAATAAGGGGTTCAGTATAAAACCTTGTATCCTCAACCAAAGAAAGAGATGTATAATAAGAGGTTCAGTATAAAACCTTGTATCCTCTACCAGAGAAAGAGACGTATGATAAGAGGTTCAGTATACAACCTTGTATCAATTGATTAACTGTTAGAGTTTATTTGTGTTCCAGGTCTAAGTTACGGCACATTCTACAGATGTCAAATTTATATAGAGTACAGCTCATCCTCGGCAAGGTCAAACAGACTGATATGTATGCAGAATGTGCCATACTGTATGGAAAGGTGAGAATTGGGCCAGGTATCTTTATTTTGGTGTTGGTCTGTTGGTTATCCATTGTTAAATACCTCTATTTCAGTATTGGTCAATGGATTTTCTATAGACAATCTTTATCTAGGGATTGGTCAGTTGATTGTCCATTTCCAGTTATCTCTCTTTAGGTACAGTTTATTGGTCAGTTGTTTGATCATACGGTACTTGGAAACCTTTGACATGCATAGCTGTTCTACTAGTATATTTGAGATGAGTTTGTCGTTATTATTGCTATTGTGTTTGACAGCTGGAGGAAGTTTGTCATAATTATTGCTTTTGTGTTTGACAGCTAGAGGAACACGACAAGGCCCTGCGTATACTGGTGCACAAATTGAAGGATTATGGGGCCGCTGAAACCTACTGCCTCGTCAACTCTCAGGGCAAAGATCCTAGTGTTCGAAAGAGGCTATTCCATATACTGCTGAGTGTGTACCTCGACCCGTCCTATGAGTGAGTTTTAAAAGAATCTACAGTGAACTTTTAAGTTAATGTTAAATTACAAGACTTTATATTGAATTTGCAAAATGTACATCTTGTGTTTCTGAAAACTCCAACAAACTTATTATTCAAGTTCTATTGGTATCAGATGGCATTTGCTTGTGGGTTCTGTTGATTCAAAATCAACTTCATCTATTTGATTGCAATAGGTTACTCATTTATATATAACACTTACACATGCCCTCCAGTGTTGTAGTTTGATAAGGATCAAGGTAACTTACTCTTGTCACACTGCATGACCTCTGTTGTGAGGCAATACTGGTCATGAAATGTGAGTTAGGAAGAACTTAAAATATCCAAAACAATCACCCATTATTGTAATTGTTTCAATCTTTAATCACAATAGATAAAACAAAGACTGTCTGATCTGTCGGACCAACATCACTCTCTGTTACCGATCCCTGTACCAAAGCCATAACATGTACCGTAAAAACCCATGTAATTTGCGCACTTTTTTTTCAGAAATTTAATACCCAAAGTGGGGGGTGCGTAAAATACACAGGTATAGAAAATTTCAAGTTTTTTTTAAAACAAGGTAACTATGCATTGGGATCATTTGACTCGAGCACAGAACTTTTGTGAAAAAGTAATAAAGATGAAAGAAACCAGAAAGAATCACCAACAGCGTTCTGAGAGAAAAAATGTACCAGAACCTGACAAAGGTTTGAACCCTGGACCTCAATCCAGGGACTGTAGCTCTAACTTACTCAGCTACCCCCAAAGCCACACTACTGCTATATCTATATCAACATCAAGGGGACGGTACTGTACATACAAACACCTACAGTGGAGGGCTCTAGTGTTTTGCCTGCAGTGGGACAGGAATCCTTAATTGCTGTTTTATTTCACCATCTGGTGTTATTTAGATATTGAAATATAATTCAAATGGACATTTTTAAAAAAAATGAATATTTGAAATGTAAGCTTTAAGTTGTGAGAAAGTTATTTCATCACTGGGTTTCTGCTATTTCAGACAAAGAGATTCTCTGGTCCAGCCGGCTGTGACTCTGCTAAACAGCAATCTCTCAGAGTTTGATACTGTTAAGGTAAGTTATCTTTCAAGGTTACATAGGATTACAAAATCATTCAGTATAACACACCATCTGTCGGTAAACCTCACTATTTGTCAGTATAACACATCATCTGTCAGTATAACACATAACACACCATCTGTCAGCATAACATACCATCTGTCAGCATAACATACCATCTGTCAGTATAACACACCATCTGTCAGTATAACACACCATCTGTAAGTATAACACACCATCTGTAAGTATAATACACCATCTGTAAGTATAACACAGCATCTGTGAATAGGACACACCATCTGTCAGTATTACACATCATGTCAGTATTCCACCATCTGTCAATACAATACACCATCTGTGAATAGTACACACCATCTGTCAGTATAACATCCCATCTGTGAATAGTACACGCCATCTGTCAGTATAACACACCATCTGTGAATAGTACACACCATCTGTCAGCATAACATCCCATCTGTCAGTATAACACACCATCTGTCAGTATTACACATCATGTCAGTATTACACCATCTGTCAATACAATACACCATCTGTGAATAGTACACACCATCTGTCAGTATTACACACCATCTGTTAGTATAACACACTATCTGTCAGTATAACACACCTTCTGTCACTATGGGCGGATCGGTAAAGTGGTTTACACTCAGCCTTCCACGCAGGCGGTGGGGGTTCGATTCCCAAAGTTGTCGTACAAATGGACATTCATAGAAAGTCTTTTTCTCCTGTCCACACAACTCCAACAACCCAGGTGGATAATATATTGATCTGGGGTGGATGCTACGGTATCTGTGCTGTAGCATTCAAGTGCAGTGGCACTATAAATGGTGCCATTGGAAGCACGGTCCCACATTACATCTTCAGCACTCACACAGGCATACACACATAGGGAGATATTAACCAGGTAGCATAGGACTAGTAGCTAGCGCCTGATAAGGCATCTCCTGCGAATTCCTCATAAATTGTATTGATTATTGTATATGCTAATTGCATTAATTATATATCTATGTACTGTAAAGCTCTTTAGAGTGGCTTATTCTAGCTAGATAGGGGGCTATAGCAAATGCTGTATATATTATTATTACACACCATCTGCCAATATTACACACCATCTGCCAATATTACACACCATCTGCCAATATTACACACCATCCATCATTATAATGTGGTCTACTTGTTGTAGGTGATCCAGTCTATACCAGAAAACTGGTCTGTGAGTTTGTTGTCACAATTTCTGATGCGTACAGCAAGAAAAAGTATGAACTCTTGTCGAAATATCCGTATAGAACGGATGATGTCTCGAGGAGAAAATTTACAGGTCACCCAGAATTCAATAGAAATGCAACGTAACTATGTCACCATGAATGACGACAGGTGAGTGTATGTTTCCTATTTCTATGTCGTTGTACATACGGTACTTTGAGGTATTTCAGATGTGGTTATATTTTGGTTTATTTGGCACTAGGAGTGAATGAACCAAAATTAAACACACCAAAATGCCACAATACCCAATATTTAACTTTCGTGAGCTATATAATCACCGCCTAAGCAAAATGTAGATTTGATATTTCGAGCAGGATTAATACACATGGTCCAAAACACATCAGTAATGATATGAATTCATCTGAAGGTGTCCATACTCTTTGCTGTTATCCATTGTTTACTGGTAGTAAGTTGTGTTCAAGGCTATATGGGTAAGTCTGTCCCATTGCTAGCGATAGATGACACACAGATAAGAATACCTGTGTGCCCCAGTAAAGCCAGGTGAGATGAGATACAAAGAATGTATATTTGTAAAAGATGTGCATTGATTAGGTTGCCTTACAAGCGTCAACTGTAGGGAATTTCCCTTTAGCTTAGCGGTAGAGCATCGGGCTGGGGAGCCAAGGGTTGCGGGTTTGAGCCCCTGCGACGGCACTTTCTTTATCACTATTCCTCATCCTCCTAAAAACTGGTGCCGTTGACCCTCCCCGTTCAAGGTAGGAGAACCCTTGACGGGGAGTCAAAGAACCTGGGTTGGTGTTAGAAAAAAAGGGGGAATAGTGTAAAAGATGTGCATTGATTAGGTTGCCTTACAAGCGTCAGCTGTTGTGAATTTCCCTTTAGCTCAGCGGTAGAGCATCGGGCTGGAGAGCCAAGGGTCGCAGGTTCGAGCCCCAGCAACGGCACTTTCTTTATCACTATTCCTCGTCCTATTACATATTTATGGAATTATTGAACAGCTCGTACTTTAGAAACACATAGTAATACCCTGATAAACATTGGCTATATATTTATAGTCACTTTAAGTCAAAGAGTATAATCATGTAAGTTATGGCTTTCAAGTGTATTTTATTATTTCAAAATCTACCTGTAATTTGCCATAACCTTGAAGATTGATAGAGCAAATACATAACTTCAGGCATCAACACGCACCAAAATATTATGCTGTGGAATCATCAATGACAAGGTTTGATTTAACAAAATAACCACCAAATTTTGTGCGAAACACAAAAAAAAGTGTAGATGCCAAAATACCCCAAAGTAACTTAGTTCTGTGTATAAGCCTATAACATCATTTATGTGGGAAATTTGACCCCAATAGAATGAATAGAGTAAAGTAACCTCTAAATAGTGATAGCAGAAAATGTGTGCACTACGTACTACAAGGGAGCTCCCCTGGATCCTGAGGAGTGGGCGGGAGCCAATAATGCAAAGTAAGGGCATTTTTGCTTCAGATTCCTACTCCTAAATGGCTGTACAGATTGTAACCATATTTGGTTCGAAATATCAAAAAGGCGAGGGGATAAAAAACTGTTTAAATGAAGTTGATGTGACCCCTTGGGCTGGAAGGATGGGACTCCAAGAGAGGAAATTTTAGTGAGCAGCTGTACTATTTCAAAAGTACAAAATCCCTACTATATAACTTTTAAGATACGTTATGGACATGAAGAGACAAATGCATCCATGCTACCAGGATTGGTGCCAGATTCAGCCCCGTCCCAGAGGACTTACAAGTAGTTCCTGGGTCATAACATGGAATTGGTTGAAAACCTCACCCTATAACCACATTACTGCTTGCTGAGCATGACCTGAAGAGATAACACCCTTGGGGACTTGCAACAAGGCTAAACAAGGTGTAATTTGGGTGGTAAAGTCTTTTAAAGGGTACTCCTTCTGACCAGTAAATCTTATTAGTCCCCTACCTTTGGTTAAGGTTTTGGTTTAAGTTTTGTAATGGCTTACCATACACTTAATAATGATGTTAGGATGCTATGGATTGAAAATGGAAAATAATATTTTTTTTATTCAATTTTTGACATGCTTTCCACTTAACTATCTTGGCCAAAATCTGCAGGTTAAAGTTTGGGTTAAACTTTTGTAATGGATCACCGTTCACATGATAGGTTAGGATGCTGAGTTAGGATGCTGAGCCATGTTAGGATGCTGAGTTTATGTACAGAGGTTCTTTAGAGGTCTAACATTAATGTTGTACACATGGATATTCATAGAAAGTGTTTTTCTCCTGCCAACACAACTCCAACAACCCAGGTGGAGTATAAATTGGTCTGGGGTGGATGGGGTATCTGTGCTGTAGCATTCAAGTGCGGTGGCACTATAAATGATGCCATTTGAAGCACGGTCCCACATTACATCTCCAGCACACACGCAGGCATACACATAGGGAGATATTAGCTAGGTGGCATAGGACTAGTAGTTAGCACCTGATAAGACTGTGACTTTATCCTTTGAATCTTACTTTTAATGTTATTATTTGTCTCGCCGCCACGTAGTAGTGGAAGCTAGACTAAGGCACGACGGAAAAGTATAAGTGCTAGACAAACCAAACTTGGACCGTAAATGCATCTTATGTAGTTCATCTCAACCCATGCATTACATGCTGGATGCGGCCTACCTTTCATGGTCCATTGACTTTGTCGGCATCTCCTTTTTTGCGTTTAAGTTATGTAAGTGCTAAACCAACCAAACTTGACATGTGCAGAGGGGTAAAGGCGAGACATATCAATCTGAATGGCATGTTATTAGAGTATTGCCGTTACATGTATTGCATAAATATCCAGGTGAGCAAAATAGACCCTCTGGACCTCTTGTGTGTATTAATCGGAAGAAAAACAGTAAGTGTTTAAAGCCAACATGTTCTTCTTATTCCCCGACTCCAGACAAACATGGCATCTGAAAGATTTAATTTGAGTTTCAATCAAAGATATACTTAAAAGTACAAATGATCAATGCATACCTGCTTGTTTAAAACTGAAATTTGTCATGATGTTATTAATAACAGGACGAGGAATAAAAATCTAATTAAAATGATAGATCAGAACTCACTATTTTTGACAGATTCATTAATTCTGTTAGTTTGGTTTGGTTTGCCGTTAGTATATGTGGTTTTACATAAAGGTCAGGCAATGCTGTGTACGGTATTCTGTCAGGTGATTCATTAAACAAAAGGCATCTGGTAATGATACCTAAAGCATAATGACTGCATCAATTTTATTAAAAGTGATGCATTTTATCTAAAGAAATATTATCTCTCCATCCCAGATCTACAAGCATTTTTAAATTCAAGGATTTAAATATCCTGTTATGAAATATAGTTTCTTTGTCTGTACAGTAAAACTGTTTTTGTTCAGTCTGTCACCCTTGAAAACTATTCAAAGATCAAAACAGTCTCACTGATTGGATACAGAGCTGTTGGTCCCTTGTCACCTGACGTATCCCTTGTTTGACTGACTGAGCGCTAGTACGGGGGGATATATTAACCTAAATGTACCCAGACTGAGTGCAATAGTTTGCCCCAAATGTACCCCTGACCGACAAAGTGCAGTATTTTGCCCCAAATATACTACTGACTGAGCACACAACATACTGTATCATTTCTGATATTAGCCCATGCTCTAATACCCCACCCCTCCACTTGGGGCAAAAATGTCCTAAAAGTTTTGAATTTTGAAGATATTCCCATTTAAAAAAATCGCCCATTCCCCTTTTGACATGGTTTCTATGTAACCCAGAAATTGTCCTCTTTAGCTTTGATTCTACATCTAATTATAACATTTTACAGATAAATACACATTAGGTCAATAAACAGTAACAAAGAGCACCAAAAAGTACTTGCTGGAGTCAATTTTGTTAGATTATATCAATCCGTAAAAAATGTAATAATTACTAGCGACGGTTTAAAAGTGGTGTAGCTAGTAAGCCGATATACTCGGCTTTGTCTGAATAAAGGTTTTCCTTTACATACAATGCATTTTAAGTGTACAAGTATGGGTGCTACTCTTTGTTTGGGCCTCCACACTCTGACAGTGCCACTGACACCATTAGATAGTAGATTTTACTGAACATAAACGTTGCGTCTAAAGCTGGATTATCACCAGACCCAACCATGGTCTGTTAACAATACATAGGACTAATATAGCGCTTGATTTTCACAATTCTAAATTATGTCTCCAATAATTACCCCTTTCCCTAACTTCATGATGTGTGATTGGCAACAATGACTCCAATAACAGCCCACCCCCTACATGCGTTTTTTTTCTTTTTTTCTAGTAATATATTCATCCTGGCTATTATTAGAGTCAGTACTGAGTAATGGCAATTAATTACCCCAAAGTATGCCCCTGACTTAGAGCAATATATTACCCCAAATATACCCCTGACTTAGAGCAATATATTACCCCAAATATACCCCTGACTTAGAGCAATATATTACCCCAAATATACCCCTGACTTAGAGCAATATATTACCCCAAATATACCCCTGACTTAGAGCAATATATTACCCCAAATATACCCCTGACTTAGAGCAATATATTACCCCAAATATACCCCTGACTTAGAGCAATATATTACCCCAAATGTACCCCTGACTTAGAGCAATATATGACCCCAAATATACCCCTGACTTAGAGCAATATATTACCCCAAATGTACCCCTGACTTAGAGCAATATATTACCCCAAATATGTCCCTGGCTTAGAGCAATATATTACCCCAAATGTACCCCTGACTTAGAGCAATATATGACCCCAAATATACCCCTGACTTAGAGCAATATATTACCCCAAATGTACCCCTGACTTAGAACAATATATTACCCCAAATATGTCCCTGGCTTAGAGCAATATATTACCCCAAATATACCCCTGACTTAGAGCAATATTTTACCCCAAACATGTCCCTGGCTTAGAGCAATATATTACCCCAAACATGTCCCTGACTTAGAGCAATTAATTACCCCAAATATGCTCCTGACTTAGAGCAATATATTACCCCAAATGTACCCCTGACTTAGAGCAATTAATTACCCCAAATATACCCATGACTAAGAGAAATATATTACCCCAAATATACCCCTGGCTTAGAGCAATGAA